CTCATTCAGCCGGAACCTTCTTTCATCGCCCTTTTTTGGTAACTCCTCGAGCCACTGGTCCTCCGAAGCAAGACAGACGGCAGCTGCCTGGCGGTCTCGGGCTGCACCTGATCGATTTCCTGCCTCCCCGCAGCTGTTTGAGGAACAACGCGGAGCTTGAACAATGGCTCCCCACCTGCAAGTCGGTCACCTCACGCGGGCACAGACTCCCAGGGGTCCCCCTGCTGGAGATGGGCTGGAATTGCATTCACGGGTGGAAGTCATGGAGCAGTACGGGGGACCCGCGCCAGGATAAGTATCCGGGCATTCCTCGGAACGAGTACCAAGACGGCGACTGGCACCTTGACGCGGTCAGAAATGAATGTGGCGACGGAAGCGCAAGCAGCTTCGCTGATGAATTGGACGAAGCGATCAGGTCACTGGAGCAGGGCTCCGAGCAGGTGAGGCATACTTCGACATTCCCTTGTGGCGGGTGTCAAGGCATGGGCGCAAGGGGTTTAACGAGAACGCCTCCAGCACGATTGTAGTGGTGTCGCCTTGTCTGTAGACGCAGGTTGTGGCTTTCAAAGGTTTATTCGTCAGATCGCGATGCAGTGGGTGCTACGCCAGGGAAGAGAGTGGGATGGGTGGGATGTGTGGGTAGGAATGGTCCATGGCAGCATGCAGAAACCAACCAAATAAAATCACCAGCATTCCCAGGGCCTGAGTGCGTGCTTTTGGTGGAATCCAGTTGATAGAATGGAGATTCGGTGGCCTCCACGCTTACCAGCCCTGGCTGAGGGCGCAATCAGTCGGTTGAGTTTCTGGCAAAACAGATAGTTCAACATTATGCCACATGTTGTACTGTGAATTGCAGCAAACATTATGTGTACCTGGAAACAGTTTGCTGTCTGGATGAGGACTTGAATGCAAAGCCAACACCCTCCCCCCTTTGCTGTCTGCCAGAGACACAAGAAAGCACTTGATATTTTGGAGTTTGATGTCACCTGGCGTTGTCATGAGGTGGCAAGCCACCCACCTTATCTGACAATAGAGGTTTTGGGTGCCTTGGCACTCAGATAAACAGAAGGCAAATGCGAGCATGTCATGCAAGGTGATGACCTCAGCAGCGGCAGCCCTGTAAGCTTCCACACCCATCAGTGGACAGTCTTTCATTGCCTTTGCACCGTGGTTGGAAGTTGGGCTAGTCTGGAAGCAGGGCTAGCCTGGAAGCAGCACAGGAAGAGTGCAACGCGGGAGCAGTATGGTTGATGTGTTGTTGGAACAGCGCCATTGTTCCTGTTGAGAATTTGCCAATTGGCTTGGCTTGTTGGTCATAGAATAGTTGGCACGATGTTTACCCAAGGAATGCGACAGGGACATGCACACAGTCTGCGTATGTGTTTCTGAGATATCGAGCAAAGATTTATTTGCCAGTGATTGCCAGCATCGCCATCATATTGTCTCCTGGGCTTTTGCTCTCCCTATTCTCTTTAGCTTGGCTTACCTGCACTGTCCATGACTGTTCTAATATCATTTAATAATCAATGTGCGTGCTTCGATTCTGTTGCAGCCTGCCGGAAGACAACAACTCCATGACATGAACGCAGAAGGAAGTGAGAGCGGTAATCATATGTTGACATGTGCACATGGATAAGAGCTGACGAGTTGCACCTATATATACAGCATTCACTGAGTCATTCGATTGTCAGGCTATTGTGCTGTGATTGCAGTTACGGACTATCCATTGTGGAGGCGCAGTCTGTTTTGATGCATTGGTCCAGTACCACATCAATACAACAAGTCAGCACCTTGGCACCTGCAAGTCGATTGCATGTACAGTTCATTCATCGCTGTTGTCCTTGTGCTAGTGAAAATTTCTGTCCATGGCTTCCCTTACTCCTCCACCCCAAGCCACCCTGAAATAAGAAGACAGAAAGTCAGTTTGGAGCACCAGGCTGAGAACGTGTCTGATATGGCTGACTTTGTCAACTGGAATTTGTGCAACGCAGCTGTACCTTGTGAAAGTTGTGCCAGTTGTTTGGGCAGTGGTCCAACCTGCAGGGACTTTGTTTCGTTGGCTCTGGGTGCATGCTCTCAAAATTGAATGTGGTTTGTTGCAGGGGAACACGATTTGGCAGATGGGATTGAAATTTTTGGGTTCAGTAATGCACTGGAAATTGCACTGGGGGTCTTGGAAGAGGAAAACTATCAAGTCAGGGAGTATGCCCCTCAGGTGCGCCACAGCAAGTACTGGCAAATTGCTCATCAATGGCCATGGCAGTGGTTTGACCACATTGCACATACATGAGTAGTGTTGTTGGTCACCCATTGCACCTTTGAGTGTGGCAAAAAATGGCAGGAAGGGTTGAAAATGAATGAAGGGCTCATTGTATGGCTCCATTCCATGGGTTACACTTCATGACAACAGGGCTGACAACTCTCTATACAGCTACAGAAACTATGCGTATCACCAGTTACGAACAGAGCGGTGCTGTGTGAAGAGCAGTGGCGAGTGCCTGTGTACAAGCTGTTGGCACTCACGAGTTCAAGGCAAAGTGAACGCGTGTGGTAATTGCTGCCATTTGCCAAAGCAGTACGATGTTTGGTTTATGCTTCAACTTTATCACTTCAGTACTTGTGCCATACTCATTGCGCCAAGGATTGTTATATGTTGCGGCCTTTGCATCTTGGAAATGGTGTTATGCTTGCCACACAATCTCTCCTGAACAGGACCTATTTTCGTTGTGCCAGCTTTTTCAGAACCGCTACCGGTTCAGCAATGTGTCTGAATTCTACAACTGTACAGCAGCATACAGACTACGTGCTGCCATCGTAGATACGGAAAGCAGAAGTTGTTGGCTAGCGGGTGAATGGTAACAGTGTGGCAGCTAGTGTGTGCACGAGATCGACGGATCCTAATGAATGCTACCATGGGTTAGCCATTGGAACAGAGGGACTATCTGTGTGTTCATGAGGGTGGGAAATGGCATGTAGTACTTTGCGATGCAATGTAATTTCGGATCCCTGCTTCAAGATGGAGGTTGTGGGTACAGCACCTGGGCCGTTCTGTGCATTTTTCACTGACTGTCACCACCTCAAAGATTGCAAAGGGGTGGTCGCTTTTGGCAGACATTTACACAGAACGAGCGTCTTTTGCAGGAGCACTCGATGGCCGACAGCGAGAGCTGCCATGGCAATCGTACACTCGAATGGATTCTTGACAACCTCGTTCGCTGTGGGAGTTCCGCTTCATCCGATTTCATCAGCGACGAGGAGCTCCGGGAATTGCAGATGTGACGCCTCCATCCGCCACCCTTCATTAGTTCTGAGTGTGTGCCACAGCGCCCGTTAGATAGTTTATCATGTCTTACTATGTTTTGGGGCGATGCCAGGGTGGCAGGTTGTAGATTGAGTTCTAAAGTGGAGGTGTTCAGTTGCTTACAAAGGTCGGTTGCTAGTGATTCTATTGTTCTATTCTATTCGGATACCACTCATTGGTTCACTGCAGGGTCGGTGGGCATTGTTGCCAGCAGTACGGCATTCTGATGATGGAAGAGGGCACATGGAGATTGTGCTTCTATCGTATCAAGTGTATGTTATTTTGCCCTGTAAACCTGCCCTGATAGCAGTACTGGCGCACGGGGTTGAGATGCCGTCTGCAGTTGTCCCGAAGTGGATCAACTTAGATACTTTGAGTGTTCGATGTGCCGCTGCGTGTGTGGCGAATTGTCCCTGCTTAGAAATTTTCGCGGCATGGCTTTGGACTTACCCCACTCCCAACCCTGTACGCTAGAGCTACAGTGAATGTCATCGTCGCAGACGTGACCAATGGCAATGTCACAATAAACTCGCTAGGTTCAGAAGGGAGTCGTCAATGTCAAGACTCGAAGTGTACTGCAGCACAAACTAAACACCACTGAGTGGCGTCTATGGATGTCTTCAGTACACCCACTGGGAGCCCTGCTGGGCGATGCCTCAAAACGTCTGGTGCTTGATCAGTCAGTTGCAGCACCGACTCATCCTTTCCCACCCGCAAGTCAGTACCCTTGCTATTGAGCCACCACTGCCGCATCAGAGGTGACATTCAATTGATATCAGGACTGTCGCACCATTCTCGAAAATGGAGATGGACGAACTCCTTCAAAGAACTATCAGAAAACGCCTTTTCCATGACTGAAACGGTGGCATACTCGGGCCATCCTATTCAGTGAGGTCATCGGACACGATTGTGAATGCACCAGGACTAGTACCAAAGAGGCAAAGATGGCTGTTCATTACAATCCACTTTGCGGTAACTCGTACAAGACCTCAAAAATGAAGTTACAATGATAATAGCGCCCCATTCGCTGCTACCACCAGCGGCCAATCCTCGAATGATTTCCACGGCGACTGGGGAATAATATGCTGGTATGGTGAGGTTGTCCCAGCACCAGCACCGCGCCATTCTCAATTTGCGTGAAGTGCAAGCCCTGCACCGCAGCCGGCAGAGTGGATTTGGCAGGCTGGGGTAACTGACAGGCAGCTGGGATATTCATGGATGAATATACGGAACTGCACAGGTTGAAGGAAGCGCACCATCCATACCGTACAGATGTGCACCGATGTGCAAACGATGTAAACGGTGTCAGCGCCATGCTACAAATCATTGTTGGTAGTACTTTGTGCCACACTGCCCGGGTGACCAACGGTACTTGGATCTGGTAACTTGAAGCCATGGTCGGTGGACTGCATGGGACACCAGCACTCCACTTGTCAGTGTGGGGTTGGGGCGTCTCACCCGAGCGGCGCTGCCTTACCACGCAATCTTTCGCTGTGCAACACCCATCGGACAAAACACGATGCTGTGACGAGGCCGCATCTCAAGCGCAGGTGTCAAAGGGCGGGATGGTCGCATCCTGTCATGGCATCCGCAAAAGTGCAGGTGGCTCACCACTGCAGCAATTGAGCAACTTGATGTGGAACGGCCGCCTGTCGTTGACGTCCTTTGTATTGACGATCATGATGTTGCGTGGTGGCAGACTGAGTCCACGTCCAAGGAATGCTCGGCAAAAAGGTACTCGCTGTGTAACACACCCAGTTGTTGAGCGCGCCATTCTGGTATTGTTGCTGTGCAACGTGGACGGGCGGTAACGTTATGTTTCGCCACATCTGTACTTCTTTGGGCACCAAGCAAGTCCACGGAAAGACATGGCTGTTTCTGGTTGGGCCCAATTTCCAAGAGCCATTCAGTGGCAACAAGTTTGTATTGTTGCTCGCCAGGGTCTTGATCTGTGGTGGTGGCATTATTGGCGTGAGTACAGCTTATTACTTGGTGCAGAAGGGTATCAGCCCCACAATAATAGAACGCAACGAAATTGCAGGGGCTGCTTCAGGTAGGAATTCGTACCGACTTGTCTCTGGGGAATGCATTCATCTCTATTGCAGTTGGTAACTTTGTTGATTATCCTCACGAGTTTATGGTCTTTGGATTGTGCTTGCCTAGTAAGCAGAGCCTTGTTCCAATCTTCATCAAGCAGAGCATATAATCTGCTCCCAGTTGTGACTGACACAGCCAATATGTTGATATCAGCACCTTTTGCGATTGTTCTCATGAGCATAACCCAGTTCTGTTGTTTTGGGTGGAAAGTGTTGGGTAATGTGTTTCCATGGTCACATGCCCAAAGCGCTTCCCTCCAGGATGCAATGTGGTGATTCTAGAGGCACTGTTGCAAGCCCAGAACTTGTGGTTCTTCAATGGGACGAATGGGAAGTTGTTGCCCAGGAGATGTGTGGCTTGGCTTTAACATCATTGACTTGTGAGACGATTGGCAAATAATGTTGGCAATAGTGGCATTCCTAGCACCAGCCCTTTGCAGCTCTTTCTGTCAATTTACATTTACCGCCTTGCACGTCTGCCCTGTGTGAGGGAGCTTCTGGGGGATTTGCGATTGGCAGGGAAGGCTGGTGGCTTTCTTGCGCTAGATTGGAATGATGGCAGCCGAATTGGCCCCTTGGCAAGATTATCATTTGGTTTGCATGAAGAACTGGCACAGAAGCTTGGTGACGACTGCGGTTACCGTCGCTGTGATACACTGGAAGTTCTGGCCTCTGAAGATGGGCCTGTGTCGCAGCACCAGGGTTCGGGTGTGCCTCAGTGGGTGAATGGGCGTGTGTCCAGGACACAGGTATCCACTCTGAATCGTTGAACCTTTCCAGCAGAAATCTCCATTTATTGCTGTTGTTGAGTGTGGCGCCTTCAGACGATGTGGAGAGCTGTTCACAATTTGCAATTGTCAGTTCTTGATGGGTCGTTGTCATATTTTTGTCACTTGTACTAGTCATTCCCAGCAGGATTCCTGATGAGCTTTTCAGCATCCCTTCAATACGTTATTGTTGTTTCAATGTGAAATTAAATCGATGCTTTGTGAAGCTGGTGTGGCAGCTCTGAAAGGCAAGGAATTGGGAAACAGCTGAAATACCAATTTGGCAGCAATTACAAGTCAGAGTGTAGCGACTGGCTGAATTGTTTTGCTCCAGGATACAGCTAGTTAGTAACATTGTGTGGTTTCAAGATGACATTTGCTCAGATTGAGGAGGGGTTGTCAGTACAGATGGTAAGCCATTGACAGAGCAGTGGTGATCATCCAACTGTGTGGGCCTGGAATGATGAGCAAAACTGTCCACAGGTAATTGGCACAACAGAGAGCACAGCTCAGGTGCATCCATACAAATTGACACATGCTCTCTTAGAGGAAGCCAAAAAGGGAGGGCTGCAAGTCAAGCATGGTGCCGTTGAAGGCATCGCATTCGCGGATGGAGCCACCAAAAATGTGACAGGTGCGCTTCTTTCCATTCAGAATTTTGACATCAGATTTGGGAGATCAGACACTACCCTGTCCTGATAGCATGTATGCAAACCTTCTGTGACCTTAAGGACAGTGTAGGGCAATGCAACATGCCTTGGAGGATTTTTGTATACGTGGTGACTCTCATCCACTCAATGATACTCGTTGCAAATACATAATTCTGCAGTTCTTAGAATGTATTCAGTTTGCATTTGACTGCTTGTTGCTTGCATTGCCGTATGTGCTTGATTAAAGTTGTAGCTTGCGTGTAGGTGTTATTGTTGATGGAAACATCATTGAGGCGGAGGCAGTGATCATAGCCATGGGGCCTTGGTCTACAAATGCCCGCAACTGGCTGCCACTGCCACTGATTGCGGCTGAAAAATACCACAGCATTCTTCTGAAGCCACAAGAGGAATTGTCTGCCCATGCTCTCTTCACCAGCATCAGGACCCTTGATGGTATGTTGTTGATCGATTTCTATTCTGACGTGGCTACCTGCCATTTGAGTCTCTCAACAATTGCCACTTTCGTGTGGCGATTGTCTGAGCATGGATCTATGTATCTATGACAGGTTGCAGGGGTTCACCATGGACATATTGCGGTGGGAAGAATGCACACCAGAATGACTAAAGGAAAACACAATGGGTATTTTCTTTATGTGGCACATATGGCCAAACGGATCTCAGAACTAGAAGGAATGCATCTAAGATAGCAGTGTGCAGGTTGCGAGTGCACATCAAGGCATGGGTCCAAGTTCGTGCTGATTCAGACAGGATTCCTCTTCTAGGCCTGTCTGCCTCAAGCAGATCTGTGGCTGAGAACGAAATTCTGTTGTCAACCTCCTTTTGAGAGCCTGGTCCACAGGCATGCATGCATTGCATTGTGAAATGCAGCACTATATTGGTGCTGTCCGCTTTGCAAATGAAATCGCCCGTTTTTCCTCATCGGTTAGCATATTCAATACTGGCCAATACATGCAGCCTCTGGGCCCTGGAACATTACTGCTTTATTCCTGTGAAAATTGGAATCAGTGGAGACATTGGCATCCATCCATAACCATTTCTTGCTGTGCCCTGTTGTAGCTGCTTCCTGTTTTGCACTGAATTCATTTTCGAGCGGATCCCTTTCCTATGGGTTGATGCCATTCTAGTGCTCTTATGGATGGATCAGTTGCAGCCAACGTTCATCAGAATTGTTTTACAGTATTGTGCCCTATTGTTAGTTGAAGTGTGCAACAAGCATGGATCTATCATGTGCCAACCAATGGAACCAAAGCTGATGTCACTCGCAACTCTGTGTGACGTGCTTAGGAACTTAACCCTGGAAGCAGATTTATGACTTGCATGGCCACCATCATTGACTTTGTGTTGTGGTGTTTCCATAGCCCAGCGATGCAATTTGGGACATGGAATGTGTCAGCGGTTTGTCACGTCACGTATACCTTCAGGCGACGCTTTGAATTTCAAGCTTTTGTGCATAAGAATGAAGGCGCAAAATGTCTTTGTGTTGTCTCATGCGAACCAGATTCGGATTCGCATTCCTCCAGAGTGCAATGTATCATGCTGGTTGTTTGCAGCTTCACACAGATGCGATGCTTTTCAGGCCGCCGTGTGGCACCTGAGGTCTATCCGCGCCCAGATGGTGAGGTATACATATGTGGAGAGGGTGATTCCCAGGTGTTGCCAGACGACCCCTGTGAAATAAAAGTGATGCAAACTCAGTGTGATAACCTGAAGAATTTTGGAGCAGCAATATCGAGTACGCTTGAACAGGTAAGGCACCACGCACTTCACAACATCGATAGTCATTTTTGTTGCTGTCGGTGCCACTCTGCAGTTCAGACTGCAAACTAAAGTGGTATCTTCTTCACGGATATTTATATGACAGTAGCCTGGTGACTGTGTGATTTCAGAAACCCCTGCAATGATAGGGTACCCAGAATACGGGGGCTGCACAGTTAATGGAGCGGCACAGCTTGCATTTTGCTATTTTGGAGTTTAGGTTCTCTCCATGGCCTCTCAACTGCAAAGACTGATGTCAGGTCGTTTCTGGTGGGAATGTTGCTGGCGCTCTGGCCACGGAGTTTTAAAGTCAGAGGCTTCACGAGGATAGAGTACGAGATCCACCTGCGTTGTGCTATTGTCAACGACGGCGTTGTCTTGAATGTCAGCCATAATACATAGGTTTCTGGGTTATCCGTGTGCTGCGTTGCATGCCTGTGTGGAATTGCCGGGAATGGGGACCTTAACGAATGTAGCCCACGAGCACACAAGCTGGGACCCACTTGCGCAAAGTCTTTTGCCCTTTGTGCATGTACATAAGAACTATATTGAAATGCTGTATCCTGCCAGAAATGGCTACCATTTGCAGGGCCACCTGCAGAATGAGGTTTCTGTCCGTGCAAGTTGATTCGCAACTGTTTTATAATATGTGTTCAGCACATATTTGATAGCGTGTGGCAAGTGCTTCAAGACGTTGAGTTATATGTCATTATTGGTGAAGTGTGGTCCTGCAGAAATGCCAGCGCGACTGTGAATGTGATGTGCTGTTGAGTTGTTGGCTCAAAGAGAAGCAGATTGCTATGACCTCATTCGTGCGAATTTGTGGATTTCACATTGCGTTGAGGAGGTGTGCTTATCCGTGCAATGTATCTGCTTTATTATACCGATATGCAAGTTGTCATGCTCGACAAAGCCTGCACAATCATGCGACTGTTTGAACATTATGCCGTGAAATTTCGAGCAGCAGATCGAGCAGTAATACTGGCTTTGGAATTCCAACATTTCTTTTTGCCGCAGGCACCTGTGACAAAACAACAGGCATGCTATTTGCCGATTTCTCAAGACGGCTTGCCGCTGATAGGCCGTGTGCCTGGTGTCGAGGGAGCTTTTGTTGCGGCTGGCCACAGCTGTTGGGGAATCCTCAATGGCCCAGGAACTGGTCTGTTGATGGCAGAATTGGTGGCTGGGGAATCAACTTCGCTGGACATATCGGCATTTGATCCTGCAAGATTTATTTAAGTCATGATTACCATCAATGACGCACAGTTGTGCTGATGTATCTTGCTTGGGCGGATGTCAGCTAGCGGTCTTGTATGTTTTCCCTGATTTTGCTTAAGTCCCTGGCCGATTGAGCTTTTCATCGTTTCTTGCATGCATGCGGCCAATCTGTGGTAGACTGGGCAAGGTACAGAAACGAAGCAACTAGTTACCGCAAAGTTACTCCATTTGGCAATATCATCCCCGCAAAGTAACCTTTGGGATCCTTCGTTGCCAAACCCACTCAGACGTTCCTTCGTGAAGACGAAGGACAACGCTTCTTCGAAAGGCGAGGACGTGGTGAAGTCGATGGCAGGTAGGATACAACACGAAATTCCAATTCACGGTGTGTGCACCGTCATCGCCAACGCAACGACGCATAGACGAAAGTCTCGACGAAAGATATAACAGCATCATCCCACACGTGGGTCCCATGGGTTATGCAATCACAATGCTGTGGCGCTTTGCTGGCATCACGCCCTTCTTTGTTATTGTGGGCGTCCTCTTGCAGTAAATGGCATGACACATGGTATCTCGTTCAAATTCATGCGAAAAGCGCGATATGCTCGCTCTTCTGGTGGCAGTGTTCGCGAGCCATACTTACGTTGCAGTGTCTGTTAAGGGTTTCGATTCACCTCCATTGTGAGCACAACCGTTGCCACCACATTTGGTTGGGCAACCGCTTGTGGTTCCAATCGAGGGACTGACGGATCAGGGCCGCATGGGCAACGCAAACAGCAAGCTCTCACTGCCTCAGCCGACTAGTGGAAATGTATTATTCCGCGGCACAAGGTTGCATGCCCCCCACGCCCTGTGGAAACGGTGGAGAATTGAACCGTGGCGAGTGTGTTTGAAGCCTCCTGACGATCATGTTCTTCACTGTCTCCTCAGACCAATTTGACCCCGATGTACTGTCTCTCGCTGAATTTCTGCCAAAGATGTCTTTGCAGAGAGGCTTCGCGCGACACGGCTGGTATTTTTGTCTCGAGTGGCTTTTTTATACCTCATAGGCGTGTTGACCATCAAAAAGCGTTGCCTCGTTGCAGCTTGCCGCTTCTGGGATGCGGATACCCGACACAAAAGTGCGCCATGCGCCGTGTCCATCCATAGCCGCCGTACATTCGTTCCTCACCCCGACTGGACAGGCCAACTGCCTCGGCGGTTACGCCAACCAATTGCTGTCAAGACCGGTCAAGCATGTGGGGGCGCAGGCCCGGCGCCGGCCAGCCCGAGTGCCTTGAGGCCCTGACGCTGGACCAAGACGCGGAGTCGCTGGAGGCGCTGCGGCAGTGCGACAGCGTGGAGGACCTGCCGGAGGCCATCGTGTCTGCCAGCATCGTCGACCTGCTGGCGCGGCAGTGCCTGCGAAGCGCCGTGCGCCTGTCTGTCACGTCCAAGCTGCTGCACTCCCTTTTCATCTGCGTCGTGACGGCCGACAGCGAGCTCAGCGACCAGCTCCTGGCCCGGCAGGAGGGCTTTGACAGCGGTGGGGCCTCGCACGACCCCCGGGCCTCGAAAATATGGAAAGCTGCAGGCCGCGTCGCTTGGGCGATAGCGAGGGCCTCGTTCTCCTGCGGCACCCTTTTCCTGTGTTGCTGCGGGGCGCTGGTCGCGCTGTGCATTTACCTCATCTTGCCAATTATTCGGGGCATAGTGTCCAAATCTGCGGGGATGCCCCTGGCGCCCTGGGTGTTTCTAAGTCTGGTGATGGCATACGTGGTGAGCCTCGTTTGGGTGGAGACGGGGGTTGCGGTGGGTAGGTTGCTCAGGCCCAGGGACAGGGACCTCATATCCATGGTCAGGTGGTTCCTCTTGCTGCCCTTCATGGAGACGGTGGCGCTGTTTGTCATGTCGGCCTTTTGCAACCAAGCGTTGATGGCCCAGGGGGACCACAGCTTTCTGGCGGGTTTTGTCGCTCCCCAGTTGCTGATGTCGCTGACCATGTATGCGCAATTCTTCGCGTTTCTCACATGGGCAAGGGGGGCAGCCATTCAGGACATGCACATGAGCGCCAGGGTGCGCGTGCTGCATCTGTGCCACATAGCGTCGCTCATGAGTCTGGGGGCGTACGTTTTCTTCTACTACAGGAGGCTGCTGGGACATGGCACGAGGCAGATAGATTGGACGGTGGGCGGTTCGTGGCGGCTGGGGTGAGGGATATGCGCCTCTTGAGGTGGTGTTTGGGGGGGCCGTGGAGGCGCTGCGAGTGAACACAGGATGATGCGGCAGCCTGGGACATCTGTGTACAGTAAGGGTGTGCGGGGCAGCTTGGGGGAGGCGTATGAGGATGATGGGTTCGGATATTTGTCAGAAGAGGATGGTGATGGCTGACTGATGCCGTCAGAGAAGCACGACGTCGGGCTGAACCGTGGTTCGCCGGGGTGCTGTTTCGCTTCCTGCTCGCTACCAACCTTTCCACACTGGAAGACACGGAAGGGCAGGACTGGTTGCCACTCTTACCATTACCTTGCCATTGTAGTTGTCAGTGTATTTACATTTCAAGCGTCGTTCCATACAAATTTATGCAGAGATTTGACATGTGCTTTGCTTCGTGAGCAAGGGCCTCTTTGCATTTGAGGTGTGCGACGATTTCCAGTCTCGGCCCTGCCCATACACAGAGCGCATTGTTCGTATGTGGCGACGAGCCAGGATGTTTCCCTCTAGTTTGTGGAGCGATCTCTCACACGCAAAAGAGGCCTGTATTCAGCAAAGCAGACCATTGCAGTTCCAGCATGTGAAGGCATCTCTGGTTGATCTGGAAAAGGCGTCGAGAAATGCTGCCATCGGTTGCTCTATACCATCTGCAAATCTCGAACAACGTTCAGCCAAGTTCCAGATTGTAATGATACCTACAGATCACAATGTGCCCACTCATCCGAGTACATCGGTAATGCACAGATAACGCTTTTGCAGCCGTCCTCCCCCATAGAACATAAAATCAGTGTGGCAAGAAAAACCGGTTGTTGCTGGAACAGCACACCACAGACCTGCCAGAATCGTCACCGTTCACCGCGCTGTGCCACGTCACTCAGCCACAGCTATTTTGGACACGGCCCTGCATCAGGGTCACAGCCCACACCTCGCCCCGAGCGCGCAAGGATCGCAGACATTCTGCCAACTTCAGGACGCGTTGCCTTTGTCCACGGGGAGCGCTGACCAAGGGAGGGCGGGCAGCGTGTGACGCACATAGTCGTCGGCAGCTGTTGCAAAGGTCAAAACTTGGTCGAGAAGCGCACGTGAGCATTTTGTCAGGTGTTGGCCGTTCTGGGCGTCGATGGAACTCAACTTTAGAGTATGTCGCCTGCATCAGAGTTCTGCGGAAACTGCTCCCATTCAACTGGCCAACACTGCGCGCGCTGATCTGCTGCCCTGTCCGCGTGCGCATAAACTGGCACTCGCGTGCTGCTGCGCATCAGTACTTATCTGATTGTCTGGAGTTTTGCAGGCTGACCCGGTCTGCAGTATGCGGGGGATCAAGGAGACAGGTTGCAGGTTGGGAGATCTGTGTCCAGAAGACAAAAAGAAGGTGGCCAACTTGGTAAAGCAGGTAAGCAGTTGAACAAGCAGGTGGAGGGGGGGGGGGGCCTTCTGGCAAAGCAGCTGCTCACTTTCGCACAATCGTCCCTTGGATTCCTTTCACCAAAGAAGGCTTTTTTCATTGTTGTCAGGTTGTGGCCCTCCGCCAAGAAGTGCAGGAGCTGAACAAGGTGCTCTGCTAGTCTTTCAAGAAAGGTGGCATTTCTTTTGAATGAAAAGCAAACATTGCCCACAGCAGAGTGGAAAATGCTTTTGCTTGTGTGCTTTTCATTCTCAAGGTCCTTCGGATGGATGTTGACCTTGTTTCTTGGGATGTGTTTCTAGCAACAAGGCAGAAGGCAGTTGCAACTGAAGCAGATGGCTGATCGCAACAGAGAAGTGATACGAGACAACGCCAAGTAAATCTGACCAACCCCCGTCACCAATAATCTCCACATCCCTATTCGCATGCTCGGCATTCTCATGCATGCCCCAAGGTGCTCACACGTGTCTGTGCCCAAATGACATAAAAGATTCATCAAAAGGCCTGCCAAACACTGGAAATTGGTCATTACTAAGAGTTTCTGCACAACCCTCAGGATTCAGACCTAAAACGATGAACACGTCGCTGCCACATGCTGACAGCTCTTTGTTGTGGCTTCATGCAGTTTGAAATCCAAACTTTTGCATGCGTTGGCGCTACTTCGGATGTACCAGCACAAGGTTGGATTGCAAACATCTTCTGTAGCCCTGGATGCTTGCATGTATGTGCCCTGTTGTTAGGGATGTGGAGTTGACTCACTCAAATGTACTATTGAGGAGGATAGATATTTGAATTTGCTGTGCGTACCAACGTGTGTTCAAACAACTGCGGGTAACAAGTGCCAATATCAGAAAAGTTCCACCACTTTCAGCTTCAGATCAACAAATTTCAGTTCCTTGTTTCTCTTCCTTGTTTCCTCTCTCCTTTGGGTGGCAGCTGTGTTCTACAAAAAGGGAAGGCACTACCTCTGCTGTACTGCAATGGGCATCCCATAGCTGGAGTACAAATTTTATGTGCTTGTCCACCACCGCACAATCGTTGGTGTCGGAACACTCCTGGCAAACAGCTTTGCCTTCCCAGTTCTTCATTTCTGGGATTGTGGTGTGAATCAAAGCACATTTTGTTGGGCGACCCGCACAGAATCTTCAGTGCCATGGCACAATGGCTTCCTAGATTGTGACAATTGAATATCACTTGCAATGTTTGTGTTATTGAGATTCGTGCACCGTTTTCACCCATCAGGTAGATGCATGTTGTGCGGGGTTGCACTTGTGGCCCATTGGATACCAGTGACGAATCTTTTGGAGTCAGGTGAAAGGGTTGTCCTTGGATGTTTTGACAATGACAATGTGCGATTCTTGTCCATCTCACTAGACACTACAGCTTTCAGGCCATGCGGTTGCAGGTTCGCACAGCTGAAGTAAATTTGAAGCTGAGGGCGGCTGCAGCGCGTTCCGACCATCAAGCTTGCCGAAACGACACAGGGATGGACTGCTGCCCTGGGCAATCTGGCCATGTTGCTTCTCCGCACCTTCTCATTTCCCAAGGGAAACAGGAGGCAACAGCATGCACTGACTATCCTGGGGCATCGGCAAAAGAGCCCACATTAAAGTTTGATGTGCACCTGTCAGCAGCCAACCAGATGCACTGCTCGGCGGACATGTCTCCAAGTCCTGAGGGAGATCTGGCATATTCAGATGGACTCTCTGACTCTGAATCGCAGACAAGATCTGGACAATGCAGACCACTGACCTCAGATACACCTGAAGGTCAGATTCCTGAGCAGGATTTGGGGCATGCTGGCCATGTATTGCCCAAGGCTGGCAATACCCCAAGTAGTGCTGCAGTCCTTGGCACTGTCGACATAGATGGCAAATCGGCTGGGCAAACATTGCCTGGGGCTGCCCCAAACACAGGCAGTATCACAGATTTTGATGCTGAAGACTTTGCTGGCAAACACGAAAGCCAAAGATCATCGAGGGTTTCAAGGAGCGAGGGGGATGCCACTGTTTGTGCAACTATGGACACTAATGTGCAAGATCTTGGCATGACATTTATGGAGGCTGCTGTGCAGGTCGGCGGTGACCAGGATGCGGACTGTGCTGATTGTGGAAACGTGGTTGACAGAACTGTGCATTTGCATGCTGGGTTTGCCTGCCCTGAAGGCCAGGCTCATGCTGAAAAAAACTCAACGCTCAGCCTTGCAAGAACCCAAGAGGGTGAAATCTCCGTGCCCGCTGCTGAAGCACAGCCAGATTGTAAACCGTTGCAAAAAATACAGCAGTGTATATCGTCAGAGGATCATCAAATTTTGGAGGGCCATCATTCAGAGGCAGGTTCAACAGATGGTGGAGAGCAAACTAACAATGGGCCAGAAGATAAGAGTGCACAAATGCCAGACAATGAGTATCAGCACATGTCAACCAGTGCACGAGGCGTGCACGAGTCCATGGCCACAAAATCTTTGTGTATTGCTGAATGGGAAGCTGTGATGAATGGTCAAGACAATGAGCCTGGTGAGTGTCTTGCCCGAATAGGGGGGGCCTGTTTAGTAGGCAACGACCTGTTTCTTTTGCCTTGAGTGTCCACCTTTCACCAAGAGGAGCCGTATTGGGTGTGGGCAGAATCACAACTTGCAATGTCATGAAACACTATTTCTTCGTTATCGAGCCGTCTTTTGGTTGCAACGAACTGAATTTTTGCCATCATCCTGCTAACAGCATCAATGGTGTGAGCCTGTCACGGAGGAGATCAAGTAGGCACGCGAATGATGGTCTTTGCTCTGGGACAGACCTGTATCAAGATGATTATTCAATCACATGTGTTGTGAGCTCGAAGCTCTTGTCCATTCACCAGAATGTGCTACACGAACCTATGCTTCCACTATTTTGTATTTCTTTTTTCGGTTTCAAATTGTAGCATCACATTTCAATGTCCAGGTGCCTCCCCCGTTGTATCACAAGATATATGGGCATTGTGGCACCTAGCAAGAGATTGCAAGGCGATGTACAGCCTCAAAGTTGCTCGAATACCAAAGAATGCTCGGTCTCAAGAAAGCAAAACACAAGTCAGCACTCCGGGGGGGACCCTGGCAGATCAGCAATCAACGTAAAGCGAATTTGTCTCTATGTTTGTTCTAATGAACCGAGACACACGATTTTGTGTTTGAAGCGTATTCTTCATGAATGCCAAACAAAATGCATACTGGCCACCTAGTGGCCCAGACGTTGGCCAAATCGTTGGAGACACAGGCCGCATGATGCAAGGGACAAAATATAGTTCAAGACATTTGCAGATGCACAAAGCAACAGCAGTGCAAGCGTTCAACTTTGTGCCTGCAGACATGACCGTTAGGGCCTTCGCCTTTGGGGGTGGGGCTGCAGTGTTTCCCGGGGGCCGACGATCGGATTGCGGATACGACGAATCTCTGACAGACCTCGTAAGCCAGGTGAGCAGCTCAATGGTCAGTCGATGGCCTCAGAATGCAGCTGTGGAAGACTGATAGGTCCAAGCGGGACTGCTGTTGCATAAAGTGGTAGACTTTGAACAGTAGGAGCACGTGATTCTCCTCTTCTAGGCGTGCTGGTTTTCAGACGCGGAAGGGGTTTGGGCAAGAAATGCCTGCCCTAAAGAGAGCGTTTACATGGCTTCCTGAGTACGCACGACTATTGTTGGCCCGTTGCATTCTCCACGCATCTTTCAAGAGTTGTCTGCCGTTATTTGACGCTTGCGTGATTGCTTTTCCACAGATTTTCTTGCTGTTGTTCACACCCATGTCATTGCCCTGCTGTAGCGTCTTTCCTGCGTTCGCAGGCAGAAGAACTGCTGGGTCAGACAGAGCATGTGCCTAGCTGTGTTCGCGCCATGAGCTTTCCAACCCGACTGCCATCCCCGCTGCCATACGCGGACAGCTACTGTTTTGCATCGACATCGGCGACGGGCGCAGGAGACGATTACGACCTCTTGCAAGCTGTTCTACAGCTAGAAGTCTGAGCTCCACTTGGGAACTGAAACTCAATTTTATGCTCTGAAAGCAGCAACGACAAATGTGCTGCCATGTGTGCTGTTCTCTGGGATGGCTTTGCTGCGTGCACATATTCGTTTGGATGTAGCAGCCTGTGCTAGAGGTTCTGAGCACCGTTCACCAATCTATGTTTCTGAATTGAGGCTGCCTACCGCAACAGAAGCTGGAACCACCTTGAAGAGACTAATTGCCGGAATGAGATGCATGGCAGTCTTCAAAACACTACTATAAAGATAATTTAGCGTGCACGGTGCAAGTACACGGTGCAAGTACGTCACAATAAGCTAGGTTTAAGGCAACTGTGCTGTCACTTCACAGTGTGTTATTGATGGTACCAGATATCGATGCTTTCCACAGAAGCGAAGGCAGAATGTCAGAGGCAGCTCTTTCCGAGGCCATTCCTTTGCGCACTGCCTCAGCCGAAGTCCTTTGTAGATCGCCAAGCCAAAGCCCAACAGTTTTGAAGCTGCAAGGGAGTCGTATTGTCTTTAAAAAACGACCTGAATCAAGAAGAAATCTGCAAGATACGAGCATGTGAATACAAGGCTCGCCTCTCTAAGCATGTTACCGGATCTGGATAAATCCACTTGTCGGATAGTGCTTGAGTCAGCGGGCATAAAATGGGGTAATGGTACTCTGGTCCCGAACTGAAAACTGCAAGAAAACCCAGCCCACGTACACAAATTTGTTAAAGCTATCCTCCCTCTATCGAACATATAAGATCCATCCTGGAACATCCAGGAAACCAGAAACAGGTCCAACAACGCCATTCTATTCCATGTGCACAATAGCATAATCGACCAACGGATCGATTTTAGAACGGTTGAAATGTGCGCTTGTTTGTATACATTCTCTTCACAGTGACATCGAATGTAGCAGCCTCGATCGAATTGACGATCAAGTCAAAATCAGAGAAAGAAGGCAATGATGTGCCCATCCCTTGACTGAGAACGGGCTCAAAGTTGTGTACATTAAACGGTGACGACATCCATCTGCAGATGCGTGTATCACCATCTGCGTGTGGCCATCCTTGTAACCAGATCTGATTGAGTATTGTCAATAGCTGGACGCATTAAGAGGTTACAAGACAATCTATCACAAGAACTGCGGTAAGGACACTGATCAACTGACCGGATACAAGGGACAGAATCGCTGTTGTCCCTTTGCTCTGCTGTAGACCGTTGCCGTGTGCTCGAGCCTAGGGCCCCCAGTCAGGGGCCGCCACCCCCCGACCCTGCCTGCCTTGGTCACCATTTCAGGGAAATTCATTGATGAGATTGGGCTCGTTGCCCGCCGCCAGATGACTAAGACAATCTTCCCGCCCCCGAGTTTCTGTCAAAGAAGGGGGGCGGCCAGGCCGCTCCCAGCATAGAGCGCGGCGCTGTTCCGTCAGGCCGAAGTGCAACCGCTCGGCTCCCAGGCGCCTCCGTCGGAATGGAAGACTTCCAGGACCTCCGTTTGGATCTCAAGAACCGGGTGGCCGCCCTGCTCACCCACAGTTTCGATGACGACCTGGCGGACTCGCTCACCTACAGCGAGCAGCTCGAGAAGCTCCTCATGCAGCCCGCCGGCGAGAAGGCGAAGCCCAGGCGGCGGCTGGTCTTCGACAGCCTGAGGATCCACGACTTCGACAAGTTTCTGTGGGACCGCCTACTGGACGACCCCATCACCACGATCCCCGCCTTCGAAGATGCCGTGGCGGATTTCGCGAAGGATGCGGATCAATTCTCGGATGAGGCGCAGAAAGCGATTCAGGAGAATGACGAGCTGAGGGTGGGATTCAGGGGAGAGTTTGGAGGCCACCTCGTGTCGCCGCGGACCCTGTCGGCTTCGCGGATGAATGGGCTGGTGTGCGTCGCTGGCATCGTGACCAAGGCGACGGCCGTGCGGCCCAAGGTCGTGCACAGCGTGCATTACTGCGCCGCGACCAAGAAGTACACGGAGAGGGAGTATAGGGACGTGACCAGCAACACGGGCGTGCCGACGGGCGCTTCCTACCCCACACGAGATGAAAATGGTGCGCGGGGCGGATTTGTTGGAGTGGATGTCTGTAGATTAATACAGCAACTGGAACTTTGTAACTAGAGATCTGACGATTCTGACCCAGAGAAGGGAGGGCCACGTCTCTTGGAGTGTTGCAAACAACTCAGAAGGTTTGTGTGCGGCTTTGATTCTCCCACCCTTTGTGAAGTGTGGGAATTGAGCACTCGAGATCACAAATAGGGAGCAAATCACTTCCATTGCTATGTTTCCTGTTAATGTGCAATCTGAAAATGACCACGAAACTCCTTGGGTTACATTATTTTGCAGGTCACCTTCTGGAAGCGGAATATGGGTTGTGCAAGTACTGTGACCATCAGGTGATAACTATTCAAGAGCTGCCAGAGCTCTCGCCACCAGGCCTGCTGCCCAGATCAATTGATGTCATCTTGGAGGACGACCTTGCAGATATGTGCAAGCCTGGAGACAGGGTTTACGTTTGTGGGATCTTCAAGGCGGTCACCCCCAGGTAACACTCCTGGCAATGGAGCGGATCTTCCCTGTGCAGCTGCACAGAACAATAGCAAGTGATGGACATGTGTACCATACCAATTCGCTATTGGAGAAAGCTTACCCCACCCCACCCCCCACCCCCACCCCACCCCGCCCTCTCCCCACCCCCGAGCACGTGTTCTTGCCGTTATGGTGCTTGCATCTTGTACACCTCTTCTTGCATTGGGGACTCTGCATCATCTTCTCACGTGTTGGGCACAGAGTCTCACACCCACATGCGTCTTGGGCGATCTTTTGCTGCCCCAGCCTCCACTGCCATCTGCACACAACAATGTGCTTGCGCTGTTGAGGACAGTCCAATTCCATTATTTTTCTGCCCAATTGATGCTTCTGCGCCCTGTTATAATTTCTGTGAATACATTTGGCTGTAACTTTCCGTTGATTGTTGACATTATGGGCCACTGCAGGTCGACCCAGTTCAGTGGCTTCTTTCGAAGTGTTGTTGTGGGCTATAACGTGGAGCACATCAACACAGAGTTCGAAACAGAGTTCTCCAGCGATGACATAAGCATGATCAAGCAAGTTGCCGAGAGCTCAGATCCGCTTGGTTGGATAGCAAAGTCCCTTGCCCCCACAATATATGGGCACGACAATGTGAAGAAGGGCCTTGTCTTGCAGCTCTTTGGAGGAAACGAGAAGAATCTGAGCAACAAGACACACTTGCGTGGGGACATCAACTGTCTGTTGGTTGGAGATCCTGGTGTGGCCAAGAGCCAGCTCCTAAGGGCTGTCATGGGGGTGTCTCCTTTGGCAGTGAGCACAACCGGAAGGGGTTCCACTGGTGTGGGGCTCACAGCTGCAGTCACAACTGAGCAAGACACTGGTGAGTAGCCAGAAAAATTGCTGAATACCATGGACTTCAGCACATTCAGGCTTTTTCAAGCATCGAAGCCATTTGGCTGCCGAATTGAGGCTTGTGCTAGTTTGTCATCTTATCAGTTATTGCCATTCTTGTGCAATATCATAGCCTAACAGCACTGGTTGGTCTGTCAAAATCTTGACCAAATCTCATCTATTTTGCACCACAGCATTTAACTGACTTCTTAGTTGTGTTACTCAAGCTGCACTGATGTTCGCAGCAATCAAATCATACTGAAATTCATTCCTGTAAACTGCAAGGGCTCCTTGCAATTACACAACAACCACCTGAAGTCTCTGAATTTGTCAAACTATCTGCACCTGCAGGAGAAAAACGGTTGGAAGCAGGGGCTATGGTCCTGGCGGATCGGGGAGTGGTATGCATCGACGAGTTTGACAAGATGAATGATCAAGACAGGGTGGCCATCCATGAGGTGGGACACAGGCTGCAGTTCACATGGCTGTTATGTAGAGCTTCAGGACTTCATACCCAACCTGTTCAGGCACTCATTTCTGTGAGAGAGGATGCTTTCATTCGATTCACGTCGGAAACAAAACTCGTGTTGCTGGTGGTGCCTGTGTCACGACTGTGACGATTTCCTTGTCTGTGGTTTGCAGGTCATGGAGCAGCAGACAGTGACCATTGCCAAGGCAGGAATACATTTGTCGCTGAATGCACGCTGCAGTGTCCTGGCAGCTGCAAACCCACTGCACGGAACCTACGACCACTCCATGTCGATCACTAGGAATGTGAATCTGCCAGATTCTCTCTTGTCGCGTTTTGACATGGTTTTCATCGTTCTTGACAACATGGATTCTGACAAGGATAGACAGGTGAGCACTGGCTCTATGGGCTTTCGCTTTCAGGATGATCATCAATGAGAGATCAACGGTCCACATTTCATTGAATTTGTGAACGATGGGCAGTATGCACTTTTCAGCCCTGAATGCCTCTCTTTGCGCATGTTGTAGAACACTCAGCAGTGACATTTCAGCTACACACAAGTGGATGTTTTGAGGATCATTCTGCCAAGATTCATCAACGTTTTGAGGAGTTAGCAGCACATGCCACCCTTGTACAACGCAACATGCTCCCTTCCACCTCGCCACTTGGTTGTTGAGATGTACGTTAAATTATGTCTGCACAGCTGCAGTGGTCTATTTACAGAATTTTGAAGTGCATGTCCTGCTAACAGATGGCAAATTTCGTTCTCAAACTCCACCGGGAGGCCACTGGACAACATGGGACGAGTGCTGGATTGCAGCAGGACATTCACAGGTAGATACAGAGGTCAGAATTCTGTTGTTCTTCATTGGGAGGGTTGCCATAATATGAACCTCAGAAAATTTGGCAAACCTGTTCTCATTCCAGCATTCATTCCTGCACATTTCACCCCAAAGGCGTTGCTGTGAGAAGAAATCCAGCTAGGGGAGAATGTAGATCCTGCCATATATTGTTGAATTCAATCATGAGCTCACAAACTGAGTGGTCAAATTGCCATGTTGTGCTGATTGATTTGGAACGAACATCATCTTGCTTTTGCATTCGGATGTATGGCTTGTCTTTCGTTGCATTTGCCAAATTCACAAGGTGCTGTCCTTGTTCCTTCAGGGAATGGCATACACTTTGCAGTGAATTTAGTGCCGAATGCATTGGGCAAATGCATCACGAGTTCAGTGCTTCTACCACCAGATTGGCTTGGTTGATGACAGCCCATTTCTTGTTTATAGTTGGCACATGGGCCATGCCCTGGATGATGAGCCTGGCAAGATATTCATGACTAACACAGGAGCGACATGGGGAGGAAGCGAAGAGGACCAAGAGCATCCACTGACTGCCCAGTTTCTCAAGAAGTACATCAAGTATGCCAAGAAGCAGTGCAGTCAAATTGGCCTTTCAGAGGGAGCTTGTGAGGCCATCAAAGAATATTACGTGGAACTGAGGAACTCGTCGCGGGAAAGGTGACACCCCAAAACTATGGAATTCACTTGCTGCAGCGTTTGACAACCTCCAAAAATGTGCACTTCAGGCAAAATAACAAACTCGGTTTCCGTTGCCCAGTTGCTCTAAGCAGGATGTGAAGGAATACAAGCCCCTCGTTGCAAAGAAAACGTCAGCCTGCATGAAAGAGGGCCGACTCATATGTTTTTCAATGCATAAGCTGCTGTGTTTATGAAAATGCCAGCTCCATATTGTGTGCAAGCTGTTAGGCCACCCATCTGAATCATGCCCACAACCGTCAACTTACAGAAGCCTTCTGTTGATTCAGAGCTTTGCCAGTGACCGCCCGTACCTTGGAGACCATCATTCGCCTATCCACAGCTCATGCGAAGCTGTGCTTGCGGGACGCGGTTCTGGAGGAAGATGTTCAGAGAGCCCAGGAACTGATGGATGTCGTGCTCAAATTCGAGGATCAAACCTCCCAAAACAGGTAATGGGCAAACACACTTGCAGCGCTGTCTGATAGATGGGATGCCCTGCGTGTGCTTGAAATGTTCGCAGCAGGTAGCAACTAACAGCAGCCACTAGTGCATGTAATGTTGCAACGATGCACCGTGACCATGGCCATAGCCACACTTTCACAGGTATCATGCACCCTTGCTTCTGGATTGCAGTGCTTTCAGGGGAAAGTAGAGCGTTTCTGACTAGAAGGCGACTGACAGTCTTACTTGAAGGATTGAATCGATGGGTGACTTGAAATAGTGCACTTTGTGCATCCACCAGGGTACTTGTGCATCCAAATTAACTAAACTTCACCTCATTGCTTTTGGGCCCAGATGTTCGAACAACTCACAATTGAAACCAAGCTGCATTCAGTTGAATCTGTTATCAATGGTAGTGTATCTCATACTGCCGGTGCCAATTGTGCACCCTACCTCTCTTGGAAGCCATCGTCAATCAGTGAAGCAAAAGCCAATATATCGCTGAGTTTGGATCCCACAACATGATGCTTCAGCACTAGAGTTCACAGTGTCACAAAGTTGTGTTCCCCTTAGTTGAATGTTGTTTGCCTGCATGAAGGGTTGCCCGGCCCAGAACGCCAGGCCAAGATGGTGAGAGCGACATCATGGACTATGAGAGCGATGAGGAACCAACTGCACCATCGCAATCGCAGAGGAGGGGCGCTGGAAGTCAGGGAACTCGCAGGGCTGGCGTTCGCAATCCTCCTAGTGTACAGGCTGATGCAACCATGGAGGTACTGCAAATCGAGGGTCCTTCTGGCGTCTTGAGCACCTCGGGAGCTGCTGTTCAGCTGCATGTCATTTGCATATGGGGTGGCACAAGACCTTGATTTGAGCGGAAGCCTTGTTGAACGTTGAGTGGTGCACAAACCCAAATAGTCAATCCCTTGCATCTAAATTTCATATCTGTTAGCCTCCCTCTGAGCAGGCTGCTGGCCAGGCGCATGCTGTTGCAGTATGAAGCAGCACTGGAATTGTATGTCAGCTGGGCGTATCAGACAGTCAACTGACTGAAAATCCACTGTGATTGCATCTGAATGGAAAACTGGATGCTGCTAATTCACAACAGCCACAAGGAGACGCCACACGACACGAACCAAAGCAACATATTTATTGCCCCACTTGTGATTTGTTGGTTCCCGATGAATGGTGTTTAAGCGTGCAGTTAAATTGCACCACACCCCGAAGTGTGATCGCCCCGTATGTCTTTCCAATCTCTGCACGTTTTGCCCAGCTGGGGCAACATTTCGTCCTCTAGCACAAGTGTTTTCGACGGCGTTACTCTGAACGCATGTCATCTCAAAAGTGGGGTGCTGCGTATTGCCCGTTATCCCTGCCGCACTTCTGTGTACCTGCTTCACACACCTCTGTTTTGGCGCGTGGGATAACACCACGAAGTGTCCGGGCTGGGGGGAGGTGATGCCCGCTGCGTGGCGTGTTCCTTCTCTTGAAGTGCACTTTATCAATTTGTTTGAACCTGGGGGCGCACGCCATCTCCGGCACTTGCTGGCCTGAGACGCAATAATGGGGACTGCACACTTGCAGGTGGATGAGGGGTTCACGTCTCTCAGCGAGGACAAGCAACGTGCTGTCGTGGAGGCCATAAGGGCACTGACAGAGCGCGGACCCATCCACCCACTGACGGCAATTCAGCAGGAACTTGATGCGAGGGGCGTCGCCATTTCCGAGGACAGTCTCAAGGAGTTTGTGCTGTACATTTCAGCGAATTGCGACAACGTGCGCCTTTACCTGCCGAAGATCCTCTTTGATGAGGACACCAACCAAATTTATGACGTTGCCTGAGTTGGCAGGGGTGGCCTTTGAACACGGCTTGGGGGGCGCTTCGCAAAAGCGGTCGTGAAGAAGGCGAGCGGCGTGATGTTTGAGATGATTGGAGGCCCGTTGGATTGCCTGATCGGAGCTGAAATGCAACGGTCATGGGCGCTAGATAACGGGTTGCAGCGGTGAATGTGGCAGGGTTTCCTGGCTTCCTCCTTTGACTGCACTTGTGCAAGAATCATCTCTAAGGAACGCTGCTTCTCTCACTGACAAAACTGCAAATGGTTGTGTGGGGACGCTGTACATATACAAAGAAATAGCCCGCTGTCAGAGTTTGCATCTGCATCAATTTGCGCTGCGGCTCAATCAGGGCTGCTGGCGATTGAGATTGCGCTGCAGGAGATTGTAATCGCCGCTTCAGTGGCTTGCTGCCGAAGACGTTGCCATTTGGCCCTTGTATGATCATCTGTTTCGTTCAGGAGACTATGTCATAATGCCACAGAGTGCAAATATGATTTGTTGTATGAAAACTATTCCCATGATGCGCACATCATCAGACATTTGTTGGCAGGTCATCGTCCTCAGTGAACATCTGCACAACATTAAAAGTCTGCTCAGCTTATTTTCTAATGACGGCTTGTAGCTGTGGGCACTGCACTGACAGAAGTAGTGATCCACATCCCATTGCCATTATGAGGGCAAGGAAATTATGGCGATCTTGAAGGAAATGCCGTTGATGCGATTCAAACGGCTTCTTTTGGAGTGCACACGGGATGCGCGAATCCACGATCGCCGATGCTTCAACGGCATTGGCACACGGCCAGACGCAAGGCCACACCACACACACAACGCCCAGGGCTTACATATTTGTTTACCCTTCCCATAGCGAAGAGCCTTGCCGACGGTGGCAACGGCCCCCGCAACCGAACAGTTCGAATTTTCTAGCACCCACAGAACTCTTCTTCTCACATGACAGTGACCATCACCCATCAGCAACCAGCCATACGACACTTTAGAGATGCCCATTCATCGCCACGATGCAACCCACTTCATAAAACATGTGTCAAAGTTGCCCATACACTCAGTGGTAATGTACAAATATGTACAAGTCGCACACCATAATGCATAAGTTATCCACCCAGTGAAACGGTGGCCATTATGCGGTGTTGCGCACAGCGAGTAATTATAAGAGAAAGGTGTTAAATATGGTGTTATCGGACAAGGTGAACAGAGTGATAAAAACATTAAAACGCGGTGAATATGGAAACGGTGATTACTAAGTTAGTAATACTAACTGGGGACATTTCTTGCGAATGCTATTTGGTTGACGTGCTCGTCTTCTAATGCATCTTGTTATGACCATTGCTTCCCGTGGCTGGGAGCAAACGTGTGCGAGTGTGCGACGGTTTTCGTTTTCTCCGATGGCCATGTTTTTTAATTTTATATTGTTGGCTGTTATATGATTCAAAACGCTTGTAAGCAGCAGCCGCATTGCAACTTGCAGAACGTGAATATGATAACCTATTTTGTCAATGAGTTTCTGCCAAGGACAACGTTGGGTGGGCACGTGCTGGCCATCCTGGGCCGGGCGGCCTTTCTGGGCCGTTTCATGGCCATCAACTGCCGGTTTCTGTCACCCCATTACCCGGGGTCAGTTCTGGATCGAAGGGGCAACCGGGTGATCGTTGTAACCTGGGTGTAGCCCAGGGGAACGGTCAAGCTGGCCCTTGGATTTGGCGGGAAGTTTGGCGGCAAGTGGGAACGGCTACTTTGGGGCGTGACCCTTGGCGCTTCCCTTATCTTGTTTTGCACCCACCCAGCCCACCCAAATAGAGAGAGTTCGGTTAGTTGTGGGATGGAGAGGGAGTTGAGTACGAGGAAAGGGGAGCTGATTAGGGTTGAGTCACCACCAGTGTGGCATTAAGTTCTACACGAAGCGAGGGCACATTTCAAGTGGGTCGCCAATCGGGTCTTGTATTGGCGAGGTGATGGACACCAATACAATTGTGAGTGTAATGTCTTGTCGTGTGGGAACACGCGGGGGCTGAAGGAGAACGGTAAGGCAGAAATGAATGCTTCATGAACTCCAATGCAGTGATTTCCAAGTGCTGCAGAATGTTGCAGCAGTGACTACACCTTCTATACAACGATCTCCAGCAGTGTCCCATGCATGTGGCCCTGATTTCATCATCAACCTCAAGAACCTCTGGAGTTGAGTGTGGAGCTGCTGTGTTTGTTGATTCGGGCAGTACCCTTGTGTTGCAGTTCTGGGGAGGACAGTTGCAAGGGGAGGGAGGTCATTCCCTGCCAACATCCAAGCCTCTCAAGAGGCTGTTGTCAATCATGCCACATCCAGACATTTTCCTTTGCATGTCGTCCTGCCTATGGCTGCGACAGTTTGTGCCACGTACGATCTGCTTGTAGCAATGTGCTTTGGCTGCCGCAGACATGGGAGAGCATCAGACACACGGACAGGCTTGAGGGGCAGCGCGAACACCAGACGACGCGAAGGATGTGCGATTGCGGCGCCTTAGAGGTGTCTCGACTTCTGCCATTGGCCCTCGTTGGCGGCACGGCTTCGCAAAAGGCGGCAGGGGCCAGCCTGGCCGACTTCACCAATTTCAACAATCTCTGGGGAGCATGATTCCACAGAGCAACCCCCTAACGGCCCCTAGAGTTTGTCAAATCCCGATGCCGGCACTCCCACAAAATTGCTGAGTGGCACCAACTAGGTCTTGCAATGGTCCCTCCCACTGTTGCTGATGTGGTGATGACCACTACCCTTAAACAGAGACCCACGTCTACAATCTTTCAAAACTATCCCCCTGGGTAGCATAGCAATTGCAGCCCCTCGCTGGGATCCAAAACGTCTCTAGGTGCTCACTGTTTCTACTGCACAACCGCGTCAATGCATAGAACATCCTCTAGCACAAAATTAAATGCAAAATCCACGTCGCCAACGTCCTTCAAGACCCCACACCAAATAAGAACTCTGCGCTCCAAGCCAACAATTCTCGAATGCCATCGGGTACATACCTGCAGGCGGCACCTGGTTTATCCAGCAAACCAACTCTCCAGCTCCTCTCAGCAATACACTCTCCAGCATCACCTTCCCGGATTTGGCACCTTCACACAATGGAATCGCAGCACCGTCATGGTGCGCCCACTCCCACTGGCAGCTTGCATATAAGCGCCTGCCGAAAGCTCGTGTGGTTGCGTCACTGCAGACAGCAACCACAGTCGCAGAACATGTTGTAGTCTTTGGCGCCGAGAGGCTTATTGATGTAGTGAGCGGCGCCCGAGTCTCGAATGCTCACCAGACGGGAAATGATCTTATTGAAGGACGGTCGTTTTTCAGGCTCGTGGGCCCAGCAGTCCGCAATCAGACACTTGAGTTCCTCTGGCCAGTGTGGCGGAATTTGTTCCCTGAGCAGCAGCAAGTGACAGTACACAGTTTGCGAGAGCGTCGTGGGGAGTGTGCGCGTGTTTGGGGTGGGTTAGAGGCCACCGGCTGTCGGTGGTTGGGAGCTGGAAACTCGGAGCTACCATGGATCGTTCATCCGGCTCCGACAACGACACAGAAATGCAGCAAACGCTTCGATAATTCGCTTTAATTGTTTGTTTCCAACATGCCATGAAGTCCAAAGAAATTGCTCGCCAACTGGTGAGGACACTTCTTTTGATATATTATCATCGACAATCACTGCTAGGCATTAGGAGTTAACAGATTCAGAGACTTTGTTTGTGTCTAACATTACATTTCAATGAACTGATCACAGACACTGCTTTGCTCGGGCAAAATTGGAAGCTGGCGGCTACCTCATTATTGCCTTGTTCCGTAAAAATCATGGCCAAGATGAAATCCACAGAAATTGACGTTTATCCTTTTGCTACTCAGTGCCACACTACCCACCAGTCATGCTGATCAGCCACAATCAGGGTGCAGTTTCTCTTTTTATTTTTTGGCAAGACACAGCAAATCACAGGGCGAAGGTTTCAACAACAGCCGTCTTCAACAAGTCAAGAATTTCAGCATTCACACAATGGCGCTTTTCGTGCGGCGCATCCTGCGTGTCGTACCTGTGACCCTTGGCAACGAGTTCACCATAATTTGCCAGCTCCTCTCGACTATGGACCATGGCGTACTTCACCAAAATCACTGACCTCGCCAAAACCTCATACATGATGATCGCAAATCCAAAAACGTCCACTTTCTCGTTGTACTTCTTGCCCAATACTACTTCAGGCGCCATGTAGAAGGCACTGCTCAGACACAGCAAGCACGAGGAGTCAACGCTCTGCTGAAGGAAAGAAAATGAACAAACCCAAACACGCGTCCTGCAGATGGAATAATGGCCGATGACCATATCATCCAATGTGAGTGATGCTGGGCCTTCTCAACGGCTACAGATGAACTACTACACAGGAATGAATGCTGTGGATGGAATAATTCCACATGAAGTATCACAATATACAGCAGGTGCAAGTGGGAGCACCAAACGTTCTTTGGCACAGGCAAGCGACTCCAACAGGGCAAATACCCGTCAAGGAACCAGGACATGCTTACATCACACATAGGCTATCTGTGCGCAGAGTACTGCTGAAGTAGTAATTACACAGACAATTGCAGAAGGTGCACCAAACACTCTCTGCACGGAATCACTTGCTGGAACGCCTGCTTATGTCAAACAGCAATTGCATCACAACTGTTGGGATTTCCTCAGCAATGTCTTGGGAGATGAACGCACTCTTTACATGTTTTTGACTCTATCACCAGGTTGTGTGAATGCATCCCACGGCTACATTTCTCCAGTCATATCAAGCAAGCCTTTGTACCTGCGTTGCAAGGCCACCTTGTGTGTTCAACACAAGGCGCCAGGGCAGTGCCTGTCATCAGTCGATTAGCACATCGAATGCACACGTTGTGTCTGCCATACAGGGCAAATAGATGCACAACAGTGTACAAACAGCACAGGCATGATGTAAAATGGCGATGGGAATGCCATTGCATGGTTGGGACCTAGTTGCCAACAAACAAGACAATCTTGACAGAGGGCACTGGGGTTCGAAGGTGAAAAACGTCCAGACCAAAGCGAATGAAGCATCGCATGGATGACTGACAGTTCTCTGACATGCTTGCAACGGTGTCTCAGTAAAGAAATATTCTCTTGAGGAACAACCTCCTACCATCCATTGCCTCTCCATAACACAGCACCTCTAAGAACTGCAAGCTTTTGGCCCTGACCTCCCCCTCACCTCCCAACTTTCTGCGTCAGCTCCATGGAGCTACCCAAGGAGCGCGGAGACAGCAAATGTATGGATTGTGACTGGCTGTGGATGCTCTGTGCTTCAGCCAGTGCAGTTGGGAAGGCCACTGTTGGCTGTGGCGATTGAACTACTGTTGACGCCTGCACAGGTGAACAGAACTGCTGCTGGACTGTCTGCCAAAATTCGCGTCGTTCTGTGAGCATGCATGCTGGCCACAGGCTATTGCCAATCAGTTCTCACGAAAGTTCAAAACCAACAGCCCCGTCTCTGTGCCATGCTAGTGAATGTCCAATTATGTTCGAAATCCCAACCTCACTCTGAACAACGAAATGTCCAATTTTCAGCATTGCCAGCATTAAAAACAAAAAAATGGGAAAGTGGAGGCATGGTGCTCAAGAGTTGACCCTGCAGCTGTCGCTTGTCAGTGAAAAGGACTCAGACAAATTTAGGCAGTGCTTTGTGCTCATTGCACCCATATGTCGATACCAATTACATGTGAATGCTGTTTCCAGTATTTGGTGAGGCACTAATACGTGGTACTGTGAGAGTCTAGCAGCACGAGCGACCATGGCCCCATCACTGACACGGCAAGGCTGTGGAAGTCATAAGCATCAAGCGTCATTGAGGTTAATGCAACTGATATATCATGATCTACATCAAACCAGCTGCTTGGGGAGCTCAGGCAAAGGAGCTAACCGCAAGGTACTTCTGTGCTTGCCACTGTTGTTCCAAATATGTGGTGTGCACAGGTTACATGCAATTACCATGAAGAGTGCAAGTTCAGGCTCGCAACCAATGTGCTGGACTTGTTTCAGGGCTTGTTTGTGAGACAATTGCTGTTCGTGTTACAAGCACCTGTTGCACTGAGGGCAGCGCCTTGATAACATATCCCAGGCTATATTAAAGACGACAAACACATAAGGCCACCTGGAGGCGCATCTGTTGCCTACAAACCATGACTGCCAAGCACTGACGAAACTCACTGGTGAATCAGCTGTGCCTTTTGCATCGGTTGCTGAGCTGGCGGACTTGCCACCTGAGCTAAGGGACAGGAGTGGGGTGCTTTGTGCGTCACCGTGGCTGCTGATGTGGTCAGCATACAATGTGCCCCCATGCGCAGACTCTCCATCAGATGTGTAGCGACGTCGACCACTATTCTCAGAAACCTGCTCCATTTGTGCCAGAAATTTCTCAGACCTTGACCTTCGAACACTGCCAGACTCCCTTTGCTGAGGAAGCGTATCTGGGTTCTGGGCCTGGGAGCTTGGTGCAGCTGCCCCCAGGCTGTTGGCATACAAATTGCCCCCGTAGTAGGAGCCCTCTGCGGCTGCAGCGGCAGCCCCAGGGCTGTCCCCAGGGTGGGACATTAGCTTCATGCGAAGCCGCTTATGGAGCCCAAAGTCACACAATTTCGCCTGCAAATTCACAGGTGTGGTTTAAAATCGCTTGTTCCTATTTTCCTATTGCATTGAATCTCTAGTTCATGAATTTGTGTTGGGTTGGTGACTGGTTTCAGACCTGACCATAGCTTGGCCACAGAAGGTGGGTAAACTCACCTGCACTATTACGGTCACAGTTCAGAACTGGCAGTCTGTTGTGCACACCAGCTGCATCACGTTGTTTGGTACTTGATGGAAACTGGAAGACAGCTGGGACAAATGCTTGTGCGAGTAAACAGCACACGACATCATGTAAGACATGATACTGCAGTGATCTGCCATACTGCCTTATATGCATTCTGTCAGCCACTTGACAACTCCTTGTGACCCCAAAAGTTGTTGTCAGTAAAGATCCACCCACCAAACAAGCCGGTGCTGCATCTATGTGAAGATATGTTGAAGTGAACACCACCCAACATTTGCCAGTTAGATGCAATGCCAGTGATCTTGGCAATTTTGCACAAACACTGCCGATGTAAATGAGACACTGTGTGTAAATGTCACATTGTCATCTAATAACTAGGGATCGATTGCAGCAAACAGAAATTGCATACCTCATTCTTGGCCTCATCAAGCAAAATATTTTCAAGTTTCAAATCTCGATGTATGATCATGGGACGGCACACAGAGTGACAGTAGTTTAGAGCCTCCGCAACCATTATCAGCCACTTGAATGCATCTTCGGTGCTGTAAAGTTCCTTTCCCCGATCGAGCATCTGTCTCACAACCAAATCCTTCAAATCTTTTCCACCCATGTATTCTTGTACCACAAAAATAGATTCTCGCAGACTTGTCATTGTACTCATGTCATGGCCCCCAATTCCAAGGATCCTCACAATATATCTGCCAAGGAAAGCCACACATCACTCTAAGTAAAGATTGAAACCGAATACAAGGTGGCGGGACCATGCATAACGGCTTCAAACATAAGAGACAATACAGTTATTGGCCAGCTGCAAAGACAACATGCACATGGGTTGTCCAACAAAGCAAGCATACACAACGACAAACCGATACAGCGCTATTGATTCTCACTGATGCGTCAAGGAATTCACAACATAAATGTCTTTTGGCGTGTTCACTGGTATCCATCTGGAATTGAGCATTGTGGCACTGGCAGCACTGGCAAAACACATCAACTGGCAACAGGGCAGGGCAACTGTCAGTTATCTAACCATTTTCTATGGCTTCATAACCACCACAACTTACAGCTAGTCTAAGGTAAGTGGCATCCATTACTACAGGTGCCAACAAGCTGCAAGTCTGTTTGTTTTTGATTCTTTCATAGGAGTGACATGTGCCCATTGGTAAAGGCCTTTCCCTGTCCCTTCCAGAGGTGATAATTGGGCTCAACCATCTCAAGTGTACTCAAGCTGGTGTGCTTTGTGTCTGCCCCTTCAGTACATGCATCTCCCACACACAAATGATCCGCAGCCACCAAGATGTTTGCACAGAGTGAAACCCATATATCACAGCCAACTTACATTTTCACCATTCCTATTGCCCCAAATACCAATGTGCATGTATCACATTTTTTCAACAAAACTACAGCAATCTCTGCTTGGTCACAGCCAGTACAAATATTCGCTGCTGGTAAGCCAGGCCAAATCTTCAACAAGTTCTGAATCAGCATCCCTGGTGCACAAAAAGAGTTGCCTCTGGCAAACATGCAAATGGCAGCATAAATTTCACCTAGCTCACCCAATGTCGGGAATGAGTTCACAAATTGAAGCAGCAGAAACACAACAGAAACACAATTGCACAGAGCATACTACAGTAGATATGCTGACAGCAATGGCAACAACAAAACTGACCTGTGCTTCATTTTTCGCTGCAGATTTGCCTCCATGAGGAATTCCCGCAGGTCGTCCGGGCTCTTCAGCAGGTCAGGTTTTAAAACTTTGACTGCCACAGCCTTGTGTGAATTCTTTCGGGGGTCAAACAGTAATGATCTGTGAGTCCATTCCATGAGCTCAGATTCATGTGGTCAAATATGCGCTGCACACAAGTTTAGAAGCCTGACGGCAGCCAGTTTTTCAGCGACCGCAATACACATACAAAGTCTTACCTACTCGCCAGGTGTTGCAACAATAATTATCGGCTTGAACAAGCAATTCACTCAATGGAAAAGGGGAAGTATTCTAGCACTGTAGACATACATGTCAAGGCACCTGCCAAGTGAACCCAAACGCCTGGGTGAGAACAAGCAGGCCAGTCGTTGCCCAGCGTGGTGACTTGAAACCAGAACACCAGAAAGAACACCAGAAAGAGGTCAAAGAAAATTTGAGAGATTGTGCAACCCACCTGTGGACTGTTGCAAAGCCACCTTCCCCAAGTAGTTCCTCTTGCTTAAGCTTTGTTGAGTCGATGTACAGATCGTTCAGCAGTTCTTTCAGGACCTCTTCAGGGGTCAAGATGGGAAGAGAATTGCTTCCTGTTTTCACCAGCTCATCTGGAAGAATAGCAGCAAACCAGTTGTTACAGTACTGTAGCACTGTGCAGGAAGTCCCAAACATAAAATTTTCATCACGCACAATGTTGACTATTTGTCTCGATCTGGTCAATACGGAGCAAGTATGTGTAAGAGTAACATGCTGCAGACAGCCCTGGAACACATTAATCGTTCCTAGTGCTGAAAATTCACGCGCATGCCACTGCCAGCATCTGTTTCACCTATGCAGCAGACTGTCAACACACAAAGTACAGAGGAACAACAACAAGACTACACAAATGATTTGTGAACAGGACAGTTCTTGCATCAACTGCAGGTAATCCATCCCACCATCCCCTTCCTTGTGTCCACCCTCCTGCTCCTGCACACCAGCCATGCCACTGGGATGGACAAGTCTGTTCTGGGTACCATTCGAAATGCACATGGATGCCCGTCGAACCTTGTCCTCCCTCCTTGTCTCATCTTCTTCTTCCTTCAATGCAAAATAGCATGTGCAGTGGTTGTGACAACAGCCAAAGAAGTGCTATAGTCATCCAGAGTTCATATCACACAAGAATTCCTTTGGCAAGGTGAACAGCCGGCTACGCGAGCACAAGCCTTTGCCTTGACTGAACCAGGAGGATTCTCCATTGAAGCTGCTGAAGCAGTTTGATGATTTGACTTCGTGCACAATCTCTGAATCATTCACAAACACAACTATGTGAGAACAGAGTGGAACAGGTAGCCTGAACATGAATACACTTGCAAGCGTGCCCATGCACCTCCCATGGAATTCATAGCTTTCGTTGGCCCCCCTTATGGAACAATCAACCGAATGCAGGTGTGCAGACGGATACATGGCAGAGTGATTACCCCCGGCACACTCACCACAATGTCAAAGAATAGAGCTGTGTTGGACGGTGACTTGTGCATGGTTATGACCAACTCTGAAGAGTTGAAGAGGGTTCAACTCCTGCAAAAATCGGGACAGTTGCACAGTGCATTTATTTGTGCTCCAACAATTTGGAGGACTTGTGCTACAATCAACTTCCATCCTCTGCTCATGTTGTCTCAGCAAGCACGAACATCAGTGTTTTGTCCTGCAGCGAAGGAATGGCGACAGTGCGTAAAACCGGAGAAGCCCATATCTTCCCCACTCGTTTCAATCAGCTGATTGCCTGTCCAGTTGACCATGCAGTGCCAGAGCGAGCAGGACGGACGGCCATATGACCAGCAAAGGCCACCCCGTCCCATCATTCCAGGCTCGAAAACCTCCCGACGGACGACAGATTGCATTGCCCTCTCGGGCCAAAAGGGTCACAAGCCGATATCCAGCGGCGCCCAGAGTTGGCAAAAGCGACCCACTCACCTCCTGATTGCCATGCAGCACCGAAACTACGGCACCAGCAGTCTTCAGCGCGCAGCGCATCAGCAACCCGCGCAAAGACCCCACCGAGGTGACCGCAAGCAGGCCCCTGGGGCCTACAGAATATCCCACGGGCACACATACACACACTGGCACGTGCTACAGCCTGTTGATCCTTGGATGGGATGTGGATGGGCCTTCTCTTTGCCCAAAATGTAACACCCTAATGTACGCAGTCCGCCCACTGTGGGCGCGTGGTGGGTCGACAGGCTGCACTACTGTCGATGTACACCTGTACTTGAGCTGCAGGGTGTGACCACGTTTCAGGTTGCCACCGCGCCTGTCAGATTCCGTACAGCCAGTGCCGAACACCGACGGAGCGTGAGAGAGGCGAGGCGGCGCTGGTGGTCATGGCTCAGGCAAGTGTATGGCTGGGCGATTGAGGGGGACGGACGGGCTCCGCGGCTGTGCGCAAATCCATTTGATCGGGCGTCTGATGTCAGTTTACAGCGTTGGGTTCCCATCGAACGCCACCGAACGACGCCTTTCAACGCAAAGGAAAACGTCAAAGAGATAGTATAGACATCCCCAGCCTGGGGAAAATTTTGGTCAGACTCTTTGCCATGCTGGTGACATGAATGCAGAAGTGTCCAAGCCCAACAGGAGTAGCAGGCAATGTAGTCCCACCTGTACTGGTGGGGCCCGTGCTGCGCTTCTTCCTCTGGGGGAAGTCGATCTCACTGGGAGCCCCTTTGTCGTCGGGGCGATGTTTGGGCAGCAGGGAGGCGCAACCACTCCAGCCCAGGTGCAGGTGGCCTGGGAAGACCAGAGCAACATCAACAGATTCAACAAACTCAACAACGAGTGGCATGAGCTGCAGGCGAGAGTGCAGCGCCAAGAGGTGAGAGGAACGTGCCCCTTGTCTTTGCGAAACTTTCACCAAAGGCTGGGATACAACGACCAGCAGACGATTTGTTACAACAATGGAAAAATCACCTTTGGCACTTCAAGGCATGTCCGATTGCGCTATGCGTAACATCTGTCCGAAGAAACAGAGACGTGTCCGTTTGCTCTTAAAAGCTAAGCAGAGCTATGGACCTGATGACAGAAAATGCACACACTCAACTCTTTGCCCTGTCATACTGAGGTGGTTTTGGTGGTGCAACACCTCACTTGATGTGAATTTTGCAGAGGTTGACTGAAGATCTGGAAGATGCCAGCAACGAGCTTATGCTAGTCGATGACGATGAGGTGGGGCGGCATTGCAGGCCGTGGTTGTTCTGTGTAGAAGTTAGTTCTGCCAGAATATAAGGACACACATTTCTCAATTCGTTTGAAGAAATGGAAAGATGGTGCTCCCAGTTGAAAGTGGCTGTGGCCTTACCGCTTGACCGATTAACCTTCCACCCAGCCACCTGAAAGGAGCTCTGGCTCCCCATATTGTACCCATCGCATAGCACCGTTCGGATCACGTGGCCATGGCAGTTCAATCGGGCTTTATGGCTGTGGGCGTCCGAATACTGATGGAAGCCTGTCCAAGCAATTAGTCATGATTTGCGCTAGTTTGAACTATATCACCCTTGTGATAGAGGACATCAGGTCATTTGATTGTTTTTGCAAAGTCACAACAAGGGGACGTCAATGACTGCAGGTTATCTCCTTGGCAGTGAGCATTGTCTGAACAGAAACACTTGGTGTTCCTGCCAAATTGCATATGTCCAGGTCACTGCTATGTGGCACAGGTACGCTTCGCAATGAGCGACTGCCTGTTCGTCCGTTTACCACAAGACGAAGTCGAGGTGAAGCTCCAGGAGGAAGCAGAGAGGGTAAAGAAGGATTACGAGAGCACCAAGGAGGAGGTTGAGAAAATTGGTGCAGAAATGGCAATGTTGAAGACCAGGCTGTATGAGAAGTTTGGGAATGCCATCAACCTGGAGGAGGAGGTCTGATTTGTTTGGGAGCTCTGGTCCTGAACAAACGAACGAGTTGGAGATTGTATGATGGACATGGGATATAGAAATTTGTGAGTATTGCATTCTTGGTTCTTGATTGTGACAAGTTTCTTGTGATACTTCAATTGTATCTGGTGTAGGTTGCACGTTTTAGTGGCTCCTACTCAAAGACGCATCCTGATCTCTGGGCTGAGGGCCAGCCATCCTGGCACAGCTGCTGGGCATGGGACAAAACGTAACAGCATCAACTTATGGGATGCTTGTCACAGGGAGGAAGCAACATCTGCTGAATACTCCAGAACTCCATTGCGACGATGATACTGGTGCCTGGCATAATTGTACTGTGGAGCCAATGCTGTGTAGCACTGCATTGTGTTGCTTAAGATTGCAAATCTGATGGCAAGGCTAGCAAAAGAATGCGCACCATATAGCACGTGCAGTTGGCTGATGTGCACATGCTGACGTTGCTCGCACATGGCCAGTCGATTGGAGAACTGATGCCTTGTGTCAGGAAACTCAAATTCGCTGCCAGCAGTATCAACAACAAAACTGGGTATTAAAACATGAGTGGCTCCCACGTTCATATCAACTGCTGAAACCATATCCCAATACATTGCCGGCCCTGATAGGTGCCGGAGCAACAACTTGCCATTTGCTGACCAATACGACCAATGGAAGTTTATGCTGGGTACCTCAACATTTCAGAATTCTTATAACCAATCCCCACCCACAGGAAACCTGTTTGTGTCCGCATCTCAAGTCCTAACATGGGCTGCGCTGTGTGTACCCAGTCCGATGGTGCAGCAACTAATGCTCAGTCTGTTTGCCAGCACATGTTCCATTGTTTGCACCCAATTTGGCTGTGCAACTGCAACGTGCAGTTTGCAGTCCGTCCCTGCATTGGATCCGTTGTACAACCTTGTCTGTGTTTCATGCTGTTACTGTTGCACCATCTGAGTACAGCATGGAAAGGGTATTGCAAATATCCTTGGACAGGGCCAAGATGACCACTGTATCATGTGCTTCTCTCCTGCTAATAAGTCTATCGTCGACATCAACCTCTTTATGTGCCTTGCAATTGTGCCTTCTCTCTCATTTGAAGTTGAGACAGGCACTCTTGCATGCGTGGTGGGGTGTGTGGGCATTGAAATTCTCATCATAGCTCCACCATTGCGTTCTGTGGCAACGAGAAACAACCATCTGGATGTATCTTTGCCTCTCATTACTTCAAGTCGCCAGGGCAGCCTGTGATTATTTGTGTAGACAATGAAAACCACAGGAATTCATAGACTTGCAAATGCCCTCCAAACATGGCTGCAACATCCAGAGTTCCCATGCATGCCAGTAGCAGTGGCTGCTGTACTCTTCTACCAGGAGAACAGGGCTGAACAACACGTATGGGCTAGTCTGCGGTGTTGAGGAGGGGCAAGGTAAAATTGCCGTGCTGCAAAACTGCCATAAGCAAGTGGCAGCAGTAGTTGAATCACAATCTACACGTTGCCATTTCAGTAATGTCTGACCCTGCCATGTAAAACAACTCTCAATGGAATGCACTCTCATTTGCAGTTGGCACAATTGCGCCAAAGGTGTGACAGTACAGTAGAAGCCAAGGCAAGAAAAGTCCTGTGCCAACATCCACTAAACGGAAACCTGGCACAACATCACACCCACCACGAAAATTCCATTTTCTCATTGGCCAGATGGCGGATACTGCAGGGCTCAGTTTGCAGCAAGTAATAGCTGTGTTGAGCACCCGCACGCAGAGATGGTCCCCGAAAGAGGGCCCACATGAGCAGCGCTACAGAGCTCAAACACCTGCTTCTTGACGTCTACCCCATTGAGCATTGCCAAATCAAATCGCGAATCCTGCACAACCCAGGGGGGGTGGGCAAAACTACCGTCGTGCGCCGCGGGCTGGCGCACCAGCCCCAACAAAAACCTGAACCGAACAAATGCTTGGCTATTCCCTGGAGCGCCACCCTTTTTAGGCTGCCTCTGCCTGCGCACTGATCAAGCGACGTACTTCTCCTTCGACCTGCGGTCGCCTTTCATCTGGTCGGAGTGCGAGTTGTACGCGATCTGCGTCTCGCTGGGAATCGACAAGTGCTCCTTCATCTGCCTTGCGATGCTCAGCTGCGCCTCCTCGTTGCTGGCCGTCCGCGTCCACAGCTGCATCCTGTTCCCCCTCGCCCTCACGCTCACCATCAGCCCGCAGATCTCGTCGCTCTCCTCGAACTGGTCCCCTATGCACGCCATGACCGCCTGCAACCACATCTCATCCACGTCGCTCTGCTGCCGCCCCACGTCCTTGGGGCTGATCGTCCAGGACCCCCCCTTGTCGTTTCTGGGGTCCTCCCACTCCGGCTCGATGCCCTCCTTGAACAGGCAGTAGTCCGTGTTCGGCGAAAACTCGCTGGGCCCCTTGATGTTGTTGAACAGCTTCCAAAAGTCCTCCACGGTGTTGAACGTGTACACGCGCCGCCGCGTCTGCCCGTACGTCGTCTGCGACTGGCCCTTCTGGTGGGAGTCGAACCACAGCGTCCACTTGTACTCCAGGACGTGGTTGCCGTCGGCGTCCCTCTCCCCCTCCTCCTCCGGCTTCGAGGCAGCGGCGTCGGCCTCCGGCTTGGCGACCTCCGGCGTGGGCGTGTTGCTTTCCCCCTCAGGCAGGGCCTTTTCCTCAGTCATAGTCAGCAGCGGATCGAGGGACGCTGGTGCGAGGATGCGCGGGGGGAGCGGTGGGTCGAGTGCCGGGGAGAAGTCGGCAAGGGACGGTCAGCAGCTCCGGCAGCCGACCCGTGTGTGGGTTCCGAGGGGTGGGCAGGAGGAAAAGGGGCAGCCGGTGGGGAGGCAAATTGATGGCCCATCTGCGTCATTGTGGGTGGACGGCATCCAAATCATGGCAGCAGGGATGTGAAGCACAGGAGTAGCTAGCTGCCTGTGGGAGGTGGGGCAGCAGTTGTGGCTCGCGGGCTGGTCACAGAAGCTCGCGGCACGGAAATTGGGACGGCATGGAACCCTACAGGCGGATTGCTGCGGGGTCGAGTGGCGCTGGGGAGCAACCCCATCGTTTCCTAGCCGCGCCTGCATTGTTCGCTGGGACTGGTCGACATGCCGGACAATGCTTGGCATTTTGGGGCGACTACCCAAGCGATGCTGTGTGCAATCAGCGGCGGTGGGCAGCGGAGCATAAATATAATGAGGTACGGAGGAAACTTAGGCGGCGATCGCATTGGGCAGCCATTGCCTTAGCACAGCAGGGCGGGAGCGCGTACTCAGTTTTCTCCGCACTCGCATCCAAGCAAGTCAGAAGCCCGGACAAGTAGGGCATCACTTGCAGTGCCGATCCCAAGGAAGCGGTGCCTTTGCTATGGCAAACCCTGCAATCGGACGTAGAGGCTCGCATTTGCTCTGTTGTGTACTGTATCTTACACATGCACGCAGGTGCATGTCTTGTTCGCTCAGTGCATTGCTGCACGAAGCGTCGACTGCGACGGGTAATTCCAGCCAGTTTTACCTCAGTCAAACAAGTTCGCTCCAGTCAGTTTCAGCAACGTGGTTCCAATCTCCCAACAAAAGCCACAAAAGGTCTGAAGACCTCTTGTGGGCTGCAGGTACCTTGTTGCTTAAATGCTAGGCAGCCCTTGGTAATTTCAAAATAAGTTAGCTTGATCCTTCAGCATCTTATGCTGGGTGCTGAACCCCCTGCTTGCGCTGCTCGGATGGTGAACATAGACGACTGCTGACACAGGTGGATGGCTTATGGGCCAATTAGAAAACCACAGGGTCCAATGTGTCCAATGATTTGTAGTGCCTGCCCCTTGGGCAAGGTGCTCATTGCGCAAACAATGGGCACAGCGACACGGCAAAACAAGGCAGAGACGTAAATAAAGAGCAGGGCGCTCTACAGCATGTCCAGCGCACAGCGGTGCACAGTGCTGGGCGCTCATATCCAACCTCGGATCAGTGACCTAAACAATGAAGGACAGACACCAAAACACAAAACATGTAAGGTGGCAGCACCTGTTGTGGAAGCAAGGCTCTATTGGGTTATGGATGCCATGTAGGGGCTAATGAAATTTCTCGCCAGTGCGCTGCGATGCTGTAGTTGCACATGGGATGCGAGAAGGCTCTACGGACAAGTCCCACTGAGTCATCGTGCACTAGCAATTGTACACAATGCAATTTTCCCACGAAAACCTTGTTACACAGGCTGCAACAGTCCAATCCCACAAAGAAACAGATTGCATGCTGCGATCTTCACTATCACGCACACTCTGCGAGGAGAAAAACAATAGCACTGCACCCACATCCATACCGGCAAATTGCTCATCACACAGCAGGCCATGAGCATTGATTCTGCCTAAGCCCTTATACACAGAGTCCCAGATCTTATACCCAGTCTCCCATTCTGCCTTCATGCACATCTTGCCACGTCTATCAACTGCTGCATCACCCTTTTGGTGCCCACAGCCATGGTGCACTCCTCGTAGGAGAGGCCATGCTTGGCACACAGCTCCTTCACCCTCTGCCGCACCTTGCTCAAGTTGTGGCGGGGGAGCGTGGGGAACAGGTGGTGCTCAATTTGGTAGTTCAGCCCCCCCATGAACCAGTTCACCCACTGCGTCCCAGTAATGTCCCGCGTGGACACGATCTGAGAAGTAACAAAGTCCTTCGAATCCGAGTAGATCTCCATGCCATTGTGGCTCTGCACAAAGGCGAAGCTGAGCATGAACCCCGCCAGCACCTGGCTGAGGACCAGGTAGGCCGCAGCCTTCCATGGTGACAGCGAGCACAGCACTACCCCAAAGTACCAGGCGTAGTGCAGCCCCAGGAAACTCAACTCCTGCCAGGCCTTGCCGTCCTTCATGCTCGTTGCCAGCACGTGGGTGAAGCTCTGTTGCAGCCACACAACCCGCGCCATGCACAGGATTGGCCAGAACAGCAGGTGCTGGAAACGAATCAGGGTCCTGTAAGCGCTGTCCGGCAACGTTTCCAGCATGTCTGCACTCCATGCCAGCAGCGGCAGCGTGTCAATGTCAGGGTCCACCGCAAACTTCTCGTTGTCGAGCTCATTGGGCACCGCGTGGTGCTGATTGTGCTTGTTCTTCCACCAGTCCACGCTGAACCCCAGCCATACGTCCCCGATCAGGTACCCGAAGCAGTTGTTCCAGGTCCGGTTCTTGAACACCTGGTGGTGGCAGAAGTCGTGCGCCAGCCAGCCGCACTGCTGCCAGAAAAGGGCCAGCAGGAAGGCCGACAGCAGCACGTAGCGCCACTGGTCGCCGGAGCAGACCAGCGTCGCGATCGCGGTGGTCAGGATCGCCAGGTTCATGGTCACCTTCCACGCGTAGAACACCTTGTCGCTGTTGAACAGGCCCTCCGCCAGCAGCGCGCTCCTCAGCTTCCTGAAGTCCGCCAGGATTGCCGAATCCTCCTCCTCTTTCCGCAGATCCCCGATGCACAGCTTGGCCAGCTTCTGCCACGACGCAGCAGCGTGGAAGCAGGAGAACACGTCCGACGCGTCGCGCCCGCCCTGCGTGTAAATCACCCGGCCGCCAGGGTGGACTCTCCCGAACTCGGTCACGTCGTACACCTTGCCCCGAATCACGATCCAGCAGTCTTCCGGGCTGTCATGCAGGGCCACCTCCTTCATGGTGAACGATCTGTTCCCTCCGTTGGCGGCCTGAAGCTCGCCCAGTGATCTGGACCGCCGCGCCTGCTTCTCGCCGCCTCGGGATCCCCGTATCCGCAGGGCGCCCGTGGCGAAGGCGAATTGGCAGAGGGCCAGCCATGCCCAGCGGAGGGCGGCGCACGCGCCCCCGCTCGACCCTGCAGCGCCCGCCATGGCGACGGAGGCCGCTGCCGGGGAGGGGAGGCGTGGGCGCAGGGGCGATAGAGGTGCGGATAGGCGAAACGGACGGCCTGTGCACTACGGCCCTTTTGACGGTGGAGGCAGATTCTCCGAGGGAGGAGGTCCATCATTCCCTCCGCATCATCAGCACCATCAAGAAATCTTACAATGCTGGACATCCGCGCACACGTGCAGTGCCGGCGTCGTGGCGTGGCCGGCAGCGTGTTTGCATGTGAGCAGCCGCGTTGCTTATGGGCCGTTTGCCTGGGCCGATTTGCCCGTGAGCGCAAACGCCATGAGCACTGTTCGCCTTGTGTTCATGTCATTGTTAGCCGCTCTACTTGGCGCTGCCTTGTTGAGGCACGCAACAATGACCTTGTTCTTTGGTGCCTGTGATTCGTCGGTGTGAGTAATAGGCATGGCATGCAAAAGCACTCAAATTCGAGGTTTGTCTGACGCCCATCAGTTTTGAATGCGAAGGACATGAAGGCGTACTGAAGGGCATAAAGCGTATGAGGATTCGCTAACTTGAACGCTACAAAAACTGAAACTAAAAACCTCGACGTAAAAGAAGAAGCTCTAAATCATGCTCTTCACAACCATCCGGACCATTAAAAATAAAGCGTATCGGACATTTGTGTCAAATTGCTTTAGTGCTGTCGCACGGATGCAAGGCTCCTTGAGGTGCATTTCCTTGGGTGTTCGAAATAGTCGATGTGTTTTGGGGCAAACGTGTCATAGATCAGAACCTTGAAGTGCGCCTGTACAAGACCCTGGCTGCTCGCCCACATTGCCTTTGAGCTCGGTTTCTTAGGGTCCTTTTGCACCATTTGTTCTCGACATCATCGCGATATTCTGATAGTGGAATTCATCTCGAGAAATTTGAGCATCGATTGACCATAATCGAAAGGGACCTGGCTGGTCAAGAAATCCTACACACTGAGGCGAAGACGCAGCCATCAGCCCCGTATCCCATCAGTATTCTGCATCATTCATTTGTACATAACAGAGCAAGGTGGTGGCTGTCAACTTCTTATTTTGTCCAAGCAGAACAGTGTCCATGAACTGTTCACTGAAATCTAACGTACAACACAAACAAAGTCCAGAAGTCCATCAATTCCTATGGACAAGCGTGATTCTTTCTGCCCCATCCCTTCGCACTCTTGCTCGTCCCAAAATGTTCAGCCCAGTGTGTTGTGGGTCAGCTGTGTGCACGCGCAGCTGGCGAATGTGGGTGGTGCTTCTCCCTGTCTGTGCTGGATTGAGAGTGGCTGGAGCTGAGGGGTTATGGGGAAGGGCGACGAGACGGGTTACTGAGTCCCGATGGTAGAAGCCGCAATGGGAATTGGCAGGAATGGGACCGAAGGGTGGGGAAGCTGTCCCAAAGATGCTGGGGCGGTTGCCCGTTTCGGCACCAGCATTTCGGAAAACGGCCATGAGTGCACGAAATGGGGGGAGGACAGAAAACATGCAGGAAAAGCAAGCGTATGCGCCCAGTAGCAAAACGTTGCTGACCACAAAGTTGGCAATGCACGAACCAGAAGAGACGAACAAGACACGGGGGTTTGGCGATTGTTGAAGGAGACGAGGGACTTCCAAGGGGCGATGACCCAAGCCAAAACGTTGCAAGTCTGTCATTTCGATTTGATCAGAAGATGCACGCAGAGCGATTCGGAAATGACATATCATGACACAAGACGCCTTATCGTGGACGGCGAAGGGAAGCATCCTCGTCACGGCAGTTAAAGGCAACAACAAAAAATGCGGATTGGCAATTGTGTGCAACGCGAATCAACACTAAGGCGCCGCATCAAGATGCGAGCTCGCGTGCCGTGGAAGGTGAAGAGGCTATTTTCAATCGTGATGACGCAGAACAAGCCAAGGATCCAGAGCAGAACTTGAGTACTGCGCAGGTCAAGAACGGCAGCCCTTCATGCAGCGTGCCTGATCATGGAGGGTTACAGAGAGGGTGCAAATTATGATGGCGCAAGGCAATATGCCCAAATGCGGATCATCGAGGTCGCAAGATCTCGTTAAGCATTCTGTTGCAAAAGACCCTCGCGATTCGAGCCTTGGATGTTAAAAACATTTTGGGCTGCAGAACAAGATTTCGATAATGTGAAGCAAAGGGATCGTGGCATACAATTGAAAGCACATGGGAGTATCTGGTTGCTGATGATGTGTGATAGTGACGAAAATATCCGGATATCATGACGGGTTTAGAATATCCTGACACGGGAATTCCCGGGCTACGGTGCGCTCAACCACTCAATGACATCCGGATCTTGTCGTCGCGATCGCATTCAAATGGAGTGTGGAAGACCAAAATTGCCAGGTTCAGGTCGCGCAATGTGTTCCAAAGTGTAAATGCGTTTAGACAAAACGTTGGAAGATAAAATTGCTATGTGCGTTTTGCTGCGAAACACGGGCGATGTCGTCACTCTGATACTCGAAGTTGTGCAAAGCTGGAGGACCTAAACTTTAGGACCCAGGTCTTAGTAGCTCATAAAGTACACAGTTGTGCTGAAGTTGAAGCTAGTCAATAACAGCAAGCTCAAGCGAGCCTATCTCGGAGCGTGCAGCACGTGCCTGGCATCCATGCTGATACTTCAGTTCGCAAACAATGAGAGTGAAATTCTGGCAGTGGATTTGACTGACCGTTGACAAATTAGTCGTTGGAAGCAGAAGGCAATAGAATTTCCTGCTCTCCAAAAGAACGGTTTGCAAACAGGACGGCACAAGTTGCTGATGTACGGAAGCATCCTTCGTTGACTCCAGACAACAGAAATTTCTGCAGTCTGACACTGAAGCTCATTGAAATCGGACTGGACAATACCGCTCATTACATTGACAATGTGGTTTACGACAGCGGAATTTGCTATACTTGAGCGACATCATTCAGAGATTAATGTAATGGAATTCGCTAATTCCTTGCCTGTCAGTTGCAGCACAATTCGATGAATGTACGTAAGAAAGTTGCTGATATCTTGCATTAGAAACTCTTTGAGACTCCCTAACATTGAACGGCAGAACATTTGAGTTTTCAGTTTTTACGATGTTCTTCTTTGGGGCAATATATTACTTGCGTATTATACCAGAAATACTTGTATTATGGCACGTATGCTTGCTGAATCGCATCAGCAAAATTCATTACGATTAATAAATTGTAAGTATTGTGACAACGAAGTTTTAGCGGGAGAATTCGCTGACTTTCGGCAGCAAGAGCAATTGTGGTCTGGCGAAAGAATCAACTGAAATGTGACGATACAATACCAAGCTTTGTGCCAGCCCAGCCCACTGACGTTTGGCTGAAGAAGTCGCTGTCCTCTGCTCGTATCATGATTCCATCTTTGGTAGCACTCTTAGGACTGAATGGTGCATTGCTGCTATGATTTTCACGAACAGTACTTGTACGAAGGTGTTGGTGCGCACGTAATTACCTTAATTATGTAATTGGCTATAGCCAATTTGGTTACAAGCGTACCGAAGTTCCCAGCATTGAGCGCTGCTTTGGGGCTGCGCTCTCTTGCCCTGCCGCAGCAGCACAGTCGATTGCATTTCGGCGGCAGCGCGCACTGTGTTCGAAATGATATTCGTTGGCATCTTCTGTCATTGTTGTTCGAATCAACAGGATCGTCTGGACATTTTTGTGGATGCGTCTGTCCTCGTGTTGAATTCACCATTACCCAGGTTATTGCTTCCCTCAATGAACGACACATGGCGACTGACTTGGCGACAACGCCATTGACTGGTTAGGGTTTGACAAGGACAGACGGTGAGCGTTGGCAAGAAGCGAAAAGGTACACCGAGATTGCAAATAGGAACTTATTACATGTAGGCTGAAGATTAGGGTACTAATTGAATCTCTGGGTGATTAGCAAAGCGGAAAATGTAACCTCATAGATCTCATTTGCAACCGATGGACACGTCACACTTGTGTCCTTCCAAGAAAGTCAAGTGGCATATCTCTGTGTATAGAAAACCTGTTGTGCGTCTGGACCTATTTCGCCTTTCCGTTCGCCCATGTCAGAGGCGCGTGGTGCTCATCGGAATCACATTGACGTAAACCACCACAGAGGGTTAAAGAAATCGGTGAATCAGCAGCGTGGCCAAAAGAATTGGAGGATTCCAGTCAAGTTTATCAGGCATGGCCAAGGCGCACCAGTAACTACGATTAGATACACTTTCTCTTTCACTGCCGTCCCTACGGTGGTATAAGTCAGAGCCAATCAAGTCTGTCTCGATATAGCAGTGACCAAACACTTTTTGGTTCCGTCCCTGCTCGCCAACTGGTTAAATTACTGCAGGCTGTGTGCTATCATCGACAAACGCTTCTCGCGAATTAAGAATTGCTGGATTCTGGATTTTGTTTCTGACATACATTTGATTTCATTGAAAAAATCATGGACACCGCTTTTCCTGGCAAACTGGGAGGCTACAGCTACTTCGTTCTCTTATTTGGTACAATTTCATAGCTCCGATGATGACAAAGATGATGACTAAGGCATTTGCGCTGCATTCAAGGTTTGCTTTTCAGCAATTTTGCCGGAACGGCTTTTCCTGGTTCAGTATCGCCCCTGTGCACTGGAGGCCTTCGACCTTGCACGCGGCTGCCCAAGGGCGCCCTCTCAACAAACGAGCAACCGCCCCCAGCCGCTCCCGATGGACCCGTCGGCGGTGCGCCAAAGTACTGGCCCAATCCGGGGCGGGGCTGATGCTTCGTCAGCCCGCCGCGCAAAAAATGTGGACGGCTCTCCGCCAAAGGCATCTGCGATCGCCCACCACACCCGCTCCCACCCAACAAGCCCCCGGCCGAAGCCACACAACTTGCGCCCCTCTCCACGCCGTGAGGGCCCCGCCAGCCGCCATGGAGTCCGCGTCCACCATGCGGTCAGTGCACGCGCGTGCGTACACCTGCCTTACCCCGAACGCCATGGCACCGGGCATCCAATCCCAGTGCCTGCAGCGACATGGCCTGGTGATGTAGAAGGATCGGAGTGTTTCGAGCACCACAAGCGCCTTTGGGGCATGTTCTTTGAAGGGCAGATTCCTTGTGCTGAGGCAGCGCCAACGGGCGGCAACGCTTTTCCTTTTTGCGCGTCGATGTGGGCGCCGGAAGTGGCGGGCGGCAGGCTGCGGAAGGTCTGGTCGACCTTGCCACCTTACCCGTGTCGCATTCGCGCTTCCGCTGCGCGCTGACGCTCTCCGCCGTGGCTGCAATCCAGGCCCGCCAGCGCCCGCTCGCTCGGCGCCAGCACCTTCCAGGTGAGCCCCCTCTTGGCAAGTGCGCACCGATGTGAAAAGAGTTCCAACACGCTCTGTTCCAGCCTCCACGACTTGATCACATTGTCCCTATTGTCACACTTGTCGTTGGTGTGGCCTGAACGTTGCATTGGTCAATCGACTGTTGCGCTTTCCGGCGCGACTGTGGGCAGTAATCGACTCGGATGTCTGATGCATTGGCGAATTTGTGACTCTGTCCGATTGTTGCGCAGGGTACGGGGAGGGTCAGGTTCGTGCAGGTGGCGGCCGGACGGGTAAGCACCGCCCTTGACTCCCCAAGGATGGATGAAAAGCCGAATCGTGACAGTCCCATGCCGCCGCGAGCAGCCCCCTTTGGACGAATTGCGCGCGACTGAACAGGCGTAGTTGATTGTGGACACATTTGTGCACCGTCCAATTGTCGATGTGTCATGTTGCGGTCCCAGGGAGGTCGCGCCACCGCGCGTCGGTCGGGTCCCGTCGCCGTGGTGGCGGAAGACAGGCCAGTGATCATCGGCCTCGCCGCCGACTCAGGTCAGTTTTCCCTCCCTCAGGTGGCACAGGGAGGGGGTCCACTGGCAAGCATCGTGGGCCTTTGACCTCGAGCAAAGAGGCACTTTTTGATCAATTGGGTGTGTGGATAGCATTGCAACGGCCGGTGTGCCGTTTGCTCGCTTTGCCAATACATGTTCGTCGATTTCTTCCTCCCCGCGATGGGCATGAATCAATCACTGGCAGAGCGGGCGCCACGTGGATGGCGTGCGCCTGACGCCTGCCTGGCGGGGTCTCAAAAGGGCGATGGCTGCCTCAGGGTCAACCGTCTCGTGGCTTGATCCTGCGTCGTTGCTGCTGGCGCGCACGGTCGATGCAGTTGCGGCTGTTGCCAGTAGGATGTGCCTTCTGATTTTGGTGCTGCTTGTGGCGAGCCAGGTTGTGGAAAGTCCACGTTCATGAGGCGTGTGACAGGGGTCTTTGGCGGAACTCCCACCCCTCCCTCTGGTAAGCACTGGATGTATAATGAATAATCGTTGGGTGGTCTGCTCTGGTGGAAGGCAATGCCCTGAACTGCTGTTGGCTCAAAGTGGTACCCTGCTGCATTTGTTGTAGCCACCAGCACCTGAATACACCATCTGTTGGTTCAACATGGTCACCAAAGCCTGTGGTCAGGGAAAAAGCTAGCTGATACATCGGCAGATTGGCCATTGGGAATTGTGGCAAAGAATTGAGCATATGTCCTGTCCAGGTTGTGCCATGTGCAATACAGACAAAGAGAGTTATCTTGTGGACAATGTTAATCCACTTAGGGAATGATACTTTAGGCTGTGGACAAACTGTGAATCTACTGGCATGGGGCAAAGGTACAACGCCAATTGTTGTTGAGACTCCATGCAATCTGATCAACAAGAGCCGCAACCACAAGCAATGTGACTGAGTGCAAAGTTGTTGCGTTTAAGTTGACAGCACAGATTGCATAAGCTTAGCTGATGCCCAATCAGTACTTGGCATGGGCGTGCCTGACCAATGTCAGGACTTGTGACGGGTTGATTTGCACTGCGTGATAACCGACGGTTTGGGTGCCTTGCATTAACATATCCGTTTGGAGCTTCTGTGGCTACACCCACCCCCTCCGTCTTGTTTTGATCAGATTGTCCATAAACGATGAAACATTAGACTGTCAATACGTTGTACTGTGGGTGCATGTTCAAGATTATCGATGCCAACGGCACTGCAAGCACAGGTAGTAGGATCGCTGTAGGAATTCGTGCCTGGAACGCGTGCTCTCACAGCTCTTCATTCGCGTGTGTGCGATTCTTCGAGTTTGGGCGTTGGTAGTCATATCCCTGGACTTAGCGGTAATATCCCTGGTCTAGTGGTCATATCATCCCTGTCTTAGTGTTGTGTGGGGACATAATATGTGTGATAACGTGTGGTGTACAATGAACAGTGAGCACCATCTTTCTGTTGTCAAAGATTTGTCCCACCAATGTGCCTGTCATCAGGTGGAAACCCCGACTCCAATACCCTCCTGTCGGAAATGACGACCGTCATCTGCCTCGACGACTATCACTGCCTCGACCGCTATGGCCGAAAGGAAAAGAATGTCACTGCCCTCGCACCTGAGGCGCAAAATTTTGACCTCATGGCCGAGCAAGTCCAGGCCATCAGGGATGGTAAAGCGATCCAGAAGCCAATCTATAACCATGTGTCTGGGCTGCTTGACCCACCCGAGGAGATCACCCCTCCCAAGGTAATTGCTAGTGAGAGAAGCGAGCGGATAACAAAAAATATTCATTGCCCAGTGTGGCCCAGCGGCTGCGTAAAATGTCAGTGATTGCATTTGTCAGAACATGAAAAGTCACTGCCCTTTGAACCTGGGTAATTTATGCTGATGGCAATTGAAGACGAAAGTTCTCTTCGATTCTACTGGTCAGAATTTGGGCAACCATTGGTAATTCACCCAAGACGACAGAGCAAGGTTTGTCATCACCAGCGCTTGGTTATGAACTGTGGGATAATTCACACACTCCAGTTGCCCACAGTGCAGCTGTTTAATCGAAATCGAAGAGAATATCCCATTGTGAAAATTCACCACATAACCTTATTGAGTCCGAGTGGACGAAACTGCTTAGTGGCTAGATGTGCACATTTGATGGCATTGCATGCATATGATACTAAGCATGCCTGACCAGGTGGTTGTATTGTTATGATGTTGCAATCAGTGAACAAAGTACCAAGATCTACAGTGCTCATGAACGCCCATGATCATGCTGCCCTCAGCATGTTATGGGTGCACTGGTGCGTGGCATTCTGGCTGGCCTCTGCAAGGCTCGTGTGCTTGGTTTTGTCTGATCCAACTGGTTTCATCACAACCAGCACTTCTTGTGCTTGGTGGTGATGGGGCTGACTCACTGTCTGCACTTCAACTCCTAAACAGGATGTGATAGTCCAGTGAAGATTGATATGCCTTGACATTGCTGATTTTTGTTGTGAAAGATTAATGTATAGATGTGCAGGCTCCTTTTATTATATCAGCAACATTTGGCCCCACAGGGCATCGTCTTGTCAGCCTGTCCAGGCAGCCCCAGCCCCAGGTGCTGCTGTTGGAATGTGACAACGCCAGGGTTGTACTTATGGTTCGTTGTTACCGCTGTGTCCTGGACGTGAACATGAAGACGTCACCCTTACGTACGAATCATAGCACACGATTGTCAAAACAAGAAGACAAGCCATACTGTGGGCACCCCTTGCTCAACAATCAGAGATTCAAACTCTTTCCAAGAGTTTGGAGTTACGCAAGCATTGATTTGAAGGTCTCAGAATGTTATTGACAGCAAGAGGTAACAATAGAAACGATTGAAGGGTAGAGAACCTTTGCTGAGAGGACCACGGCGCTGTCACCACCGCTCCTCTCTGAAGGTTCGCCATGAAACAGTAAAGCCAGAAGCCATGTCACAGATTGGTGCCCAGATTGCCATCTTATCCATCTTGCCACGGTGGCATTTGACTGTGCAATGTGTAGACATGCCCACTCATTCTTTCTTTCCATCGTGCTGCCGTGTGCCCTACAGCACTACTAGGAACTGCTAGTCATATCCATTTTCAGATATAGACGATGGAAACGATTGAACAATGGTGTGCCCCCCCCCCCCTTCCCCCCCTTCCCCCCAATCTTTTCTTTCTTTTTCCTCCAGCAGGTGAATTCTGTTTATTTGCAGCCAGTCATCAGGAAAATGTGTTCTTGTGGCAAAAGACAGCAATGCTGGTGTTTGGCTGCTCCATTCCTTGGGGGCCGGTTGTAAAGAAAGTTGTCAGGATGACAAGACTTGATTGTATGGAGGCTTGTGTGATGTTCATTATTGCATCTATTGTCTGGAGATCACTGCTGGAGTCATGCATGCCAAATGCACATCCTCAGCTTGTAGCATTGCAAAAATTTGTGAAGCACTCTGCCCTTTCATGTTTGATGCGAGTTTAGGAATGGGTGAGCAACGTTGCTGTCATGCAGATCTATGTGATTGAGGGGCTCCACCCGTTTTATGATGAGCGTGTCCGTGATCTCCTGGACTTCAGCATCTACCTGGACGTCTCCGATGAAGTCAAGTTTGCATGGAAGATTCAGCGTGACATGGCTGAGCGCGGTCACAGTCTGGAGTCCATCAAGGCATCCATCGAAGCCAGGAAACCTGACTTTAATGCCTACATCGATCCACAGAAGCAGTACGCAGACATGGTCATCGAGGTTGGTGGTGACTGTGCGCAGATTGTGTCTGTAAATACCTGAGCATAGCTGAGGGGTGGCACGACTGTTGTTGGTTGGTAATGATGAATACATTCACATGGTGTTACCGACTGTCTGTTGCACATGGTGGTCATGCAGGTGTGCATCCAATGCAGGGCCCATGGAGTCTCCATGGGTCAAGAACATTGGAAAGCCCCTCGTGTCTGGGCTGCAGATTTTGCCAAGGAGCTATTGCTGGCTGCTGCTCATGCTATTTATCATGCTTGAAAGCTATATGGAAGAGAATAGTAGGCCAAATGGCTTTGCGGTGGTTGTATTGCCACCGTGGATGCTATATTCTCGGCAGGGTCGAGTCGACTGTCAGGTTTTCATACTTTGATCCACCATGACAAGAGCTTTCCTTATCTTGAAATGTTTGCTGTGACAACAAGCTCACCTGCTGAAGACCTGCACTACCACTAACTACTACCAACTATCGTTGGCCGGCCTACGGCCGATCTTGACCTGAAAATCTTGGCATGATCTCAAGATGGCAACTGATGTGACAGTAGTGACAAGGCTGCCTGCATCAACTGTGCATAGGATTGTTTGGACAGAAATGGGAAGGAACACCTGCACCTGCTAACAGTGCCTGTCATTAACCAACGTTTGCAAGGGTGCTATATGCCATAACTTGACATGTGCAGGCAACGAGTACAACTGGCGAGAATTCAGCGATAAGCCATATGTTACCAGTATGGTGGTGAAACAAAGTGTCAGATCAAGATAGGGTGGTGTTCAGCATGGTTTCTTGTGGTCTCAACTGAACCTGGAACCTGTTCTGGTCACCAGGTGCTTCCTACACAGTTGATCCCCGACGACCAGGAGAAGAAAATCTTGCGTGTGCGACTCATCCAGAAGGAGGGCAACAAGAACTTCGACCCCCTGTACCTCTTCGATGAGGGCTCCACCATCTCTTGGATTCCCTGTGGCAGGAAGCTCACCTGCTCCTTCCCTGGCATCAAATTCTTCTATGGCCCGGACACATACTTTGATGAGGAGGTGAGGCCGATTGTATTGTATGCATGCATTTCCCCTTGCTGCAAGTCGTTGCTTGGGGCTGGTGGAGAGGTGCCTGCTTTTGGATTGTGCTTTAATGAATTTGAACATAGGCAAGTCACTTGCATTGCACCAACGTGGTAGCGATGTGCATTCTCGACCATTACAGTGTTTGTTGCCAGCACTGGGTGCGTGTTGTGTAGCTTCATGTGCAGTCGAAATTGCAGTGCAACTGCGATTGCGTTTGGTTGTAGGAAGCAGAAAATATTGCCAGGCCAGATGTGAAAACTGTAGTGCCAGGCATTGTGGACTAGATATTGGGAGTACGCCCAGCATCTAACAATGGCACTCCAACAGAAGTGAACAGTGGAGTTTGCAAATAGTGCTGTCAATAGCTCACAGTCAGTACACTGATGCTGTCGAATTGTTGGACGATGCCAGAGGCCTGGTACTGTTGGCAAAGGTTGGTACAGTTGGCAAGCAGGGTTTCAGGCAAACTGATGCTGGCAATGGAGTTTCTCCTGTGTGAAGAACGTGCAGCCATTCTGTATGAGTAGCGATTGCATCTTGACTGGCATCAATGGCATTTGGCCTCCCTCTTGTCAGGGAATTCTGTCATTAATGATCTAACGATGGGCGGCTGCGAAACGGCACTTAGTGTGTATTTCAACCCTATGCACACTGATAATTTCGTTCTGTACTTTGTCCAAGGTACCAGCCTTTATGTGATGTTTCAGCCACTCCAGCGTCCTCGTGCTTCTGGTCACGCCTGAACCCCTTTAAGCGACCAATGTGGGTACCAATGCGGATGACTTTCGTTGATTTATTTGCTCGTTTGTTGTCTTGCAGGTGTCTGTGCTGGAGATGGACGGGCAGTTTGACAAGCTGGAGGAGCTCATCTATGTGGAAAGCCACTTGAGCAGCACCTCTGCCAAGTTCTATGGCGAGATCACGCAGCAGATGCTCAAGAACTCTGGATTCCCAGGCTCCACGAACGGGACTGGCCTCTTCCAGACGATCGTGGGCCTGAAGATCCGTGAGGTGTACGAACGCATCTCCCAGAAGGAAGTCCTGCCTGTGAGCTAGAGGGGCAACCTGTTTGTGATGGTCCCGGCTGTGGGCGGGTTGGCTTGTGTAACCCTCTTTCAAGGCGGCGTTATGGTTGCAGGGTGTGCTGTTGGTGATTCCTGATTGGACGCATTGGTCATTTGTTGACATTCTTTCGGAGCCAGCAGGGATTCAGTTGGCGGCAGCGTTAAGTGTCGTTCAGGCCATGGGGTGGGGACCCAGACCAAGGTGGGAGACGCTGCAGGGGAAGACAAAAAACGTTGTATTGTTTTTGAAGGTTCGAGTCACGTGGCCCAGCCTCCAGTTTTGTACAAATGACGTGGAGAAGATTTGTGCATCTGTGTTGAGGAGTCTTGTCATACACATACCATGGGGCGTCATGTAGCCTCAAGCACATGGACACCTGGGAGCAGAACCGACTTGGGGGGATGTTTAACACCGTGTTCACAGGTTCTGTTGCCCCCTTGTATTCGTGCGCTTCAGAGGCAGGCACGCACAAGAATGGTTGCTATTCCAGCGATGGGCACTCAAAAGGCAACCAAACCATCGTGGCCATAAATTCCTTGGGGAGTGCGCAAAGTGGCATCTTGTAGAAGGTGTCTTACGTTCGCGGCGCCACCCACATTGTCACTCCATTGCCATCTACTTCAATGGAACTGTGAGTTTTCCAGGCCGCGTGTGGTTTTAGCTGGCAGAGCCTGAGGGGTGACGCAACCTCATTTCAGTCGACGGAGTTCAAACTACCAAGATGTTCCATGAAACAACAGTATTGCATAAGCTGCACACGGCTGTCTCACATGTGGCTGTTGCACTCTAGATGGCAGGGATGGGGCAGGGCGCCATGATAGCTGTTCGCAAGTCAGATTGATGACGACGACGGGAAGAGTAGGACATGGGACGAGGGCGTTTCCACCTGACCGGTCTCCTGAACCCACCCGGTCATGTTCCCCACACGACAACACATTACAACAAAGGTGTCCATCACCAACAACTCCACATACCCGAGGTCCCCGTACTTAACAGTTTGCCCTTTCGCTTCGCCCTTACTTTACTTCACGTTTCTCCCGTGACAGCAACCCTGAGTCACCCCTTCCCCGTTCTGTTATCCACTCCTTCCCGTTGTCTCCCTCAACTCAACCGAACTCCACTCTCTAGGGCGGGAGGGCTGGGTGCGAAACAAGATAGGAGGGGGACCGAGGGGAGAGCCTAAATAGCCGCCCCCGCTCAGCCCCGCCAAAGCCCGCCAAGTCCAAGCCGCCAAAACGGGCGGACCCTTGCACACTCCGTACTTTGACTGACCCAAGGTACTAGGAAGGGCCAGAAACCCATTTGAATACGATTGCGCCTGATTCGAAACTCGGCGCAACCCACCCAACGTCGTCCTGGGTGGAAATCTATTAACAGGATAGTTAATGTCATTTCCACCTGACCGGTCTCCTGAACCCACCCGGTCATGTTCCCCACACGACAGCACATTACAACAAAGGTGTCCATCACCAACAACTCCACATACCCGAGGTCCCCGTACTTAACAGTTTGCCCATTCACTCTCCAAGGGTACGGGAGGCACCTCCGGGGCAGAAAATGTGCCCAAACTGGGCGTGGAGGTCGCGGGCGGTGATCGTCATCCACCCGAACAAACGAAAGTCCCACTCAGTGGGTAAACGAAAAATGTCCACGTACGACCACATGGAGTCAGACTTCCAGCCACCCCAGTCCCGAATGCGCCGCTCGGCGACCTCCAAAGCGAAGCAGCTAGACGCACCGCCACCGCGGAGGCCATGGTGCGTGAAAGGTTCTCGAGCGATGGTCGGGTGCTTGGCCAGCAAGTCCGAAAACCAAGCGGCCACCGTCTTGGAGCTGGGGGACGCCTCGCCCGGAAGGCGGTAGAAATGGCGAGGCGCTTGGTCCGTCTGGGCCCAGGCGCAGTCGCGGAAAGCCGTCCAGCGAAGAAGGAGATCCACGACCTCCGGGGCGCCTTGGGTCGGCCAGGACCGAAAACGCAATCGAGGGGCCGCATCCTTGTGCAGCTTGGATTTGCGTTCCCGAAATAAAACGACCCCGTCCGCAATCCGAATGTCCTCCGCGAGAACGAAGTGGCCCGATTGCGCCCGGTTAAAAAAGATGTAGTCGATGTACGCCGCGCACGCCGCCCGAAGGAAGGCCCCGTCTTCCGTGGTCAATCCCACGTCGAGGATGCGAATCATCACCTCGATGGGCACAGGGCAGTGATGTTGCACGGGGGCTGGCGTATCCCGGCGCCATGCGCGGGTGAGGACACGGGTGACCGGGTCGAAAGCAGAAAAGCCAAGGTGCCCAGACATATGGTGCACCATGGAGATGGCCGCGAGATACTGCGGCAAAGAACGAACGCCCACCTTGCCTTCCTCACGGAGGAACCGAATGTAGCGGTAGATGGTGGCGCGACGAGCGGGCAGCGGCTGCAAGGCATGGGCCTCGCAAAAGGCCTGGAAACGCAGGAACTTGGCCTGCATAGTCCGCCGGGTGGCCTCCGTATAGGAGGCAAGAAACTGTTGTGCCATCCAGCTCCGATCGTCCGCCAACAAGCCATCCACTTCGGTGCCGTACAGCGGATGGTCCTCGGGGACCGGCTCCAAGGGGAAAGGATCCGAAGGAGGCTCTCCGGCGGGAGGCGCCGGAGCGTCCGGTTCGCTTAGAGCGTCTTCGCCGGTGGGGTCCGCAGGGTCGTCGGGTGCGTCCTCGGCGCCACATGGAAGGCGCGCAAATTCCAGCGCGGAGGTGGAAGGGAGGACGGGAGGCTCGGATCCCCGGGGAGAAAGAGGTTGGGCTGGCGGGGGATGAAGATCTCGGCCTGCGCCATTGCCCGGAGGCGGGGAAACCAAACCGCGCTCGGCCAGTTCGGCGCGAGCACCACTGCATCCAGTTGCGGCCTCGAGGCGAGGAAGGCGACAAGCCTCGCGAGGAGGCTCCACGGGGGATTGCACCAGCTGCGCGTCCCCGTCCAGTTCTGTGCGAAGGCGTCGACGCCCGACGTACCCACATCCCAATGTTGACTGTTGTAGGCCGCGCAGAGGGCATTCCGAGCGGATGCAAATCGGTCCACTGAACAGGCCCCGAAGCGGTGGACGACCTCCTGGAATATGCGCGGATTGAGCCGGTAGTCCTCCGAAGTCCGTATACGCGAAAGCCTGTCCGGAAGGACATTGTCCGCTGACCGAATGTACTCGGGCTCCAGGAGCAACTTCCGCGTCGCACAAATAGCTTGCAACTGGCGAAGGGGCCTCAAGAGACCGGCTGACTTGGTAGTCATCGAGTTGAGGCAGTGGAGAACCACCTGGTTGTCCACGAGCAACCGAAACCGGCGAGAAGCGGTCCTGGGGCACCGGCGAGGAAAGAAAGACAGCAGGGCCAAGTATACGGCCTGCATTTCACGGACATTGATGTGAATGAGCTCTCGATCAAAGAATCCGCGAGCAAGAAGGGGTTGATCACCGCCCAGAGGCGTAAAAGTGGCCCCCCAGCCGGTGAGGCTGGCGTCCGTAGCTAAGGTGCCCACCAGCTCCAAGGAGGCGGAATTGAGCGACCTGCCCGCCAACCGACCGATCTGGGCCCAGACGGCCAACTCCAAACGAGCCGCGGCGGTCAAACAGAGCCGATCTCGCCAAGAACGTTTGCCGCGCAAAAGAGAGTATAGATCCGTCAAAAAAAACCGTGCCAATGGAAAGGCCAAGTACAAGGAAATGGCGGAGCCACAGAACTTGGCCAGATCCCGAGCAACAATGAAACCCCGTCGACTAATCTCCTGGGCCCACCGCGAAATGGCCGCAACCTTGTCCGGAGGGACCTGAAATTGGCACTGATTGGTGCCGATCATGATCCCCAGATGCTTCTTGCATTGGACCGGCTCCCACTGACACTTGGACTCCTTAAAAGCGAGGCCAAGAGTGGCGAAAACCCGGCGGACCAAACTGGACCATTGGGTGAGCCGCTGAGGATCCGACATGGCAGCAATGAAATCATCTAAATAGGCCAAAATCAGCGCGGGAAGCTCCCGCGAGTACTGGAGATAGTACTGGAGAATGGAATCCTCCCCCGCTAATCGACCAAAACGAAAACGAGTGGCAGCTTTGGGACAAGAGCTGGGGGTCCTTAAGAAACGGACCACTACCAACATGAGCTGCGTGAAATAAAAGGGGGAGAGGGCCAAGCCAAAAGGGAGCGCTCGGCAAGCAAAAGTCTCCCCACCCATGCGAAATTGAAGAAAATGCTCTTGATCCGCTCTCATCCGAATATGATGATAAGCGTTTTTGATGTCGAATCCCACCAAGTAATCATGCTTCTTCAGCAGAAATCCAAAATCGCGCAGTTTTTCATAACGAAGACCAACCTTCTTGAGATGGCGATTGATTCGCCGAAGATCGATGATGAGCCGGTATTTGGTCTTGCCATTCTCCGCCGGCTTGGCCACCAAGAAAGCGCGCGAAATCCGGGCGTCGGAAGAGGGGTTGGTCCGGACGATCGCCCCCATCTCGAGGTACTCATCCCGCAGTTCCCGCCATGCTCGCCATTCCTCCGGGGTCGTCAAGGGGTATTCGCCCTGATCGAAGGGGGCCGGAGGGCCCATCGGGCCCCATTGAAGGGGGGCTCCGGTGTGGATCCATTGCAAGACTCGCGAAGGCGCCCCGATGCGGCGCCACCCGGAGAGACGGCCCCGAAGACGAGCGTACGGCGGGTCCTCTAGGCGGCGGGGTTGGGGGGCTGAGCCGGAGCGTTGGGGCCCGCCTGCGGCTTGGAACTCTTGCCCTTGAAGTGGCGAGCGTTGGAGGTGGACGCGCCCGCAGGATTGGGAGCCGGAGCGGCGCGATCGAGGTTGGCCTGGTTCTTGGCGGCAGCCGACTTGGTCGCCAACTTCAACTGCTGATTGAGGACCTCTTTGCGGATGTGCTCCAGCGGCTCGTCGATCAAAGGATCCCAGAAGCGGCGATGAACGGCGCCCAGCCGAACGTTGGTCTGGAGCGCGCGCCACAACCCGTCGAGGGACGTCCCCTTGTGCTCTCCGTGCACTTGCTGGAGACGGATTAGGCTCTGCAATCTTGTCGTAATCGTCACCTGGGCGTGGAGGTACGGCAAGAGGGCGTCCCGAAAGATGGGCGGGAACTCCTGGTGCGCCGCGAAGTCGATCAAGGCGGCCGTGAGGTCGAAGAGCCACGCGACGTAGGGCGCCCAGTTCTGGTACTCCTGGAAGTAGCCGGAGTTGGTCCCCAGCGCCTGCGCGAGCTGGGCGCCTTCGGAAGTCCGCCTCACGCCGAACCACTCGGGAAAACGGACCCCCGGAGGTCGGACCACCGGGTTGGTGACTGACCGCGGAAGGAGACGGGGGTCCGGTAGCCAGACGGTGTCGAGAGAAGCCGTAGGCGGACCGTCGTTGAACCGGACGGCTTGGTCTTGAAGCCACTGCTCCGCAGGTGTCCGGTTCATAGAAAGAACTCGGCCAAGACGGCCGGGGAGGGCAAGGCACTCGGTGCCTTCGGGTTGTGCCAACAAGTGGCGCGAAGCGAAACAAGATAGGAGGGGGACCGAGGGGAGAGCCTAAATAGCCGCCCCCGCTCAGCCCCGCCAAAGCCCGCCAAGTCCAAGCCGCCAAAACGGGGGGACCCTTGGACACTCCGTACTTTGACTGACCCAAGGTACTAGGAAGGGCCAGAAACCCGTTTGAATACGATTGCGCCTGATTCGAAACTCGGCGCAACCCACCCAACGTCGTCCTGGGTGGAAATCTATTAACAGGATAGTTAATGTCATTTCTGCCTTACCTGTCTCCTGAGCCCACCCGGTCACGCACCCCCCATGACAAAACACTTACAACTTCACGACAATCCAGTGTAGTGTACGCGAGGTCCCCATCCTTCCAAGTGTGCCCTTAGCTTCGCTAGTACTGAACCCCACCCAGCCCATGAGTCAGCTCCCTAATCCCGTACTTCACTCCCTTCACTGCCTCTGCATCCCACAACTAAACCGAACACAACTCCTTAGGGCGGGAGGGGCAGGCGCGTAACAAGATATGGAAGGGACCGAGGGAGGAGCCTACATAGCCGCCCCCGCTCAGCCCCGCCAAAGCCCGCCAAGGTTGGCGGCACCTTGTAATGTCATACCTTGACTGACCCACAGTACTAGGGTTGACAGAAATCCCAAGGGACGGGGGCTGAGTAAGCCCCAGGATGAAATTGTGCCGTTTGAAACACCGGCGCAGCCCGCCCGTCGTCTCCCTTGGCAGAAATGACATTAACTATCTTGTTAATAGATTTCCACCCAGGACGACGTTGGGTGGGTTGCGCCGAGTTTCGAATCGGGCGCAATCGTATTCAAACGGGTTTCTGGCCCTTCCTAGTACCTTGGGTCAGTCAAAGTACGTAGTGTCCAAGGGGCCGCCCGTTTTGGCGCCTTGGACTTGGCGGGCTTTGGCGGGGCTGAGCGGGGGCGGCTATTTAGGCTCCCCCCTCGGTCCCCCTCCTATCTTGTTTCGCACCCAGCCCTCCCGCCCTAGAGAGTGGAGTTCGGTTGAGTTGAGGGAGAGAACGGGACGGTATGGATGGCAGTACGGGGAAAGGGGTGACTCAGGTTTCTATCACGGGAGAAATGTGAAGCAAAGTATGGGCGAAGCGAAAGGGCAAACTGTTATGAACGGGGACCTCGGGTATGTGGAGTTGTCGGTGATGGACACCTTTGTTGTAATGTTTTGTCGTGTGGGGAACACCGGGAGGGTTCAGGAGACCGGTCAGGTGGAAGCCCAATAACAGGTCATTCAATTTCATGACTGCGCTCACGAGTCACTTTTGATTCGAGATTCAGCAGCAGAAATCAAGGATGATTTCCGCCTCGTCGCGGTGCATTTTAAAAATGGGGGACTGCCATGAACACACGAGGCAGGCGGCGCTGTTGAATGACACGCTGACATGTGAACAACTGCGGGCCGTGAAAGCGCTCGAATCTGAACTGAACGATGTGGCTGCTGAGGCAGGACTGGTTGAAGAATCGGCTCACGATTTGTTGCACCTGCGCAAAGAGCTGATTGTCATCTGCATGCATGCCGTGGCGGCGCCTTGCAGTGTTGAAGAAACTGCAATGGAAGCCATGTCACCGCCGTGTGCTCATTCTGCAGCAGAGGCCTCAAAACAATAGTCTGCGGGAAAATTAGAACTATTGCCTCTGAGGCAATTTTGTTGCCTGCATTGTGGTTGCATATGTATGTGAGAAAATTGGGGCAGGGTGTTGTAGTGAAACGTGGGGAAGTGGGTGTATATGGCAGCTGTTGAACGCATGCCATTTCTTGTTGTAGTTTGTGAACGGCAGGATCTCTGGTCCAGGGGTGGCAGGAATGGTAGGCTGTGATTTGAAATTAGTGTGGTTGGCATGAAAATAGCGGCGCTCCATTGTGGCGAGCAAGCAACCGGCAGGCTTGTGCCCTCCCTTGACTTCGCCCAGCCACATGCTATCGTTTCGACAGGGATCTTGTGAGCAGCGAATGTGCGGCAGGGGGCAGTTGAGATTATTGCCAGGAGCCGTGAATCCTCCAAAGCGCCCGTGAGCCTACTTGTCCAAGCTCTCCGTGTGTTCAGACCGATCGCGATCAATTCTTTGCGATCGACAGGCGTCGATTGGTGTCTGTATAACAACATTGGCCGCATGAACACTAACCTTTGGCATGTGACCTGTCACCACGGACAATTGTGACCGGCAGCGTGGGCGATTTGTGTATTTGGTTTGCGCTTCCAATGGGCAATGGCTCAATCCCCTGGGCATGAGGCAGCTCATCTGCTTGGCGACGAGCTGCGAATTTTCCGTGCGATCAGCATGGCTACCACAAGTGTGGCAACCAGATGAGTATTCCTGACGTGCACACTTGCGAAAGAACCGTGCTGTAAACATGACAGACCAGTGTGCACATGCCGTGATGGAATGGAAAGGGTGGTCCAACGTGCTCCAGCGCTCCGCAGGTGGTGAGTTGTTGGGTCATTACTCCAAGTGCTCGTATCGTCAATGAAGGTGCATTGCTCGTGGGAGTCGCTGTTGACTTTACCGAGGCACACTACTTGGGACATCATGGCTTGGTTTTGACTCTTGATAAGCCAAGTATCAAGAACATTTGCAAGCGAACAACACGCTTTACACTGTGTTACGTCAAAAACATACTGCTGGCCGTGTGCAATCACTCAATTCCCGGTACACGACCGACATTGTGGTAACTAATTCCTTCAACTGTGAGTTGGGACGTGCGCGGCCAGGAACGCTGCATGAACCGGGCAAGAATTCTTTTGTGTTTCCTTCCCCGCAACTGCCCAGGTACTCCGCCCAGGTGATACCCCAACCACATCTTTCCAGTAAGTCGGTGGGCAGCAGCCAGTGGCTGGGTGAGTGCCAGGCCAGTGGTAAACGCCATCTTGACAAGTATAAATCCTCTGATTCCACATGACATAGAATAACACAGCATCTTCAAGTCCACCATGGGCACAATTCCAGCCCCCCCAAAATGCAGAATCATTGCCCTGGACTTGGGTCCTCCAGGCTAGCAACGGATGCCCAATAACTACGCTCCAGGGCAGCCCATTTTGTTGTGCGCTGTGCAGCAGAAATTCACTCTGATGAGGCTTCCTTTATCATGTCAAATAGCGTCCTTGTGCAGTCCAGGCGAAAATTTGGAGATTATAGGAGATTCAGAGAGTTTCTGTGTGCTCATGGACGAGCCGATTCGCAGAATCGACGCCAAAGGAACGGGATCCCACACGGCAGGAAAATCATCGGAGCTCACACTGCTCGTTATCCTACACTCTCAGGGGAACTTACAACGAACAAAACCCAACGCTGCCAACTAATCGTTTGTAGTTCGCAAAACGTCTCATTGCTGTCACCACTTGCACAATGGCATTCCTCAACAACAATGAGAGCCGATGCCCAGCATTCACAACAACGTGTTGAACTGCCACGCTTCCCCGTCAAGTGCTCTTCAGCCCCTGTGCAGTTCTGCCCGTGAGCATTCAGTGTGTAGGCCGTTGTAAGCAGCAGTTAAACAGTTGTGTGACACACCCAGCACAATGAATTTGACACTGTCAACACTTTCCACTGTGATACTGCCTGAATCTTAAAGACAAAGAGGGGAAAATAGTTCTGCGATGAATATATCACAAGCACTTGTGCAGCAACAGTGCATTCGTTGTTAATGTCTAAAGATATTGTTGTCATGGCAACAGCCACCTACTCTCCTGCATGCCCTCCAGCCCAGACAGAACCTTGCAAGTTCCCTTTCTAATACTTGCAGACTGGAATCCTGAGTTTAGAAGATAGGGAAAACTGTGAAATGATAATCAAATGCAGCTGTGACTTCTGTCTGTCCTATGCACACCCATCCTTGTTCATAGCCTCAGGAGCAATGTCCTTCATACGATCACTGCGTGCAGGAGGGATGCTACACGCAGACATCCCTTCCTGCTCCCCATCCTGCGTCGACTCGCTCGCCTCTGGCTCCTCTTCATCCCCAGTCTCATCATTCATGCCCTTGTCGCCCTCAGGATTTCCTGCAACAGATCCAGCCAACCCGCTGCTGGACTTCTTGTGCCTGCTCTGACCCTCAGGCTTCTTGTGTTTCACTCTGAACTTCTGCAGGTGGCTGGCCACGTTCTCCCTTGTCAGTCCCTCCACGAGCATCAGCTTCAAGATCTGCTTTGGCGTCGCGTGGTCAAGCCCCAGCTCCTTCACCGCATTCTCGAACCTCTTCTTTAGATCAGTGGTCCAAAAGACACGGGTGCGCCTCTGCGGCTTCTCATCCACACCCCACAGCTGCTGCTGTTGCTGCTGTTGTTGCAGCCGCAGCTGCTGCTGTTGTTGCTGTTGTTGCAGCTGCAGCTGCTGCTGTTGCTGCTGCTGTTGCAGTTGTCGCTGCTGCTGCTGCTGCTGCTCCTGCAGCTGCAGTTGCTGGTGCAATTGCTGCTGCAGTTGCAGCTGCTGCTCCTGGCCGGCGGCCAAGCAGGTCAGCCCCTTCCACTGTGCGGCAGGCTCAGTGCGCAGTGCCTGCATCGCGTCCCAACCCCCCTGCTGGATCCCATCCTGGGGTCCCTGTGGCATCAGTGCCAGGCCCGGAAGCCCCACCTGCCCTCCCACTGCTGCCATTCCCAGCGGCAGGGGCAGCGACATCTGTGGCATCTGCGGATTGCACCCAGGGCCACAACCCCGGTCCCCTGCTGGGGGAACACCCATCAGGCCCCCGGGAAAGAAACGCTGAGACACGCCCGGATTGGGCGTCCAGGCGTCCGCAGAGTTGGCCTGCACGCTCATCGGGAGCCCGCCGGATCGCGTCGCCTCCTCGCCCGGCCGGAGATCCTGCCCTGGAGGCACGCAGCCGTCGTCGGACAATGGAACGCCGGTGCTCGGGATGGCGAAGGCGTGCGCCAGCGCGGGTGACATCAGGGTCTGGTCAATCGGCACCAGCTCCGATCTATGCAGCAGGTTGGGCCCCGCGCCCTGCTCCGCGGCGCCCTGCCCTGCACTCGCCTGGGCGTTCCCAGGCGCCACTCCCAAACCCCAATTCGACATCACGTCCCCGAAACCGCTCCCCGCCATCTTTGATCACGCGCCAAGGTGATCCACTCCAGCGGCCGTCGTCTGTCGTCTGTTGTCTGTTCGTCTGTCGTCGATCGTCGGCCGTCGTCTGTCGGTTGCCTGTTGGTCGTCTACCGTCGCCGCGTGTGGGTCTGGGTGCACAGGCGCCCCGGAGGGGAGTTGTCGGCTCGGGGTGGTGCTGCCTGTCGGCGGGCGGCCATCGCTTTCGCGCCAGGCGGAGGCCCGACGGGTATCTCTCGAGCGGCTGCGGCGGCAGGCGGCGACCAAGTGACGTGCCCCCCGCCCCCGGAGCAGCCCTGCCGCAGTCGCTGGGCCAGAATGGACTGGAAGGGAACGATAAGGGATTCTCATGGTCGCATTTCCTATTGTTTATTTGCTCCCTGGAGTCATCACGATGTGATGATGCATCATGCACTCTTACGTAACCAGGCAACGAGATGGCCCTCACCTTCCTGATTTGCTCGAGCAGAGCTGAGCCCATGATCAGATCATTGCAATCTAAAGTACTAGCACAAGTAAAGTACTAGTACAACACAAACAAAGTCCAGAAATCCATCAATTCCTGTTACCAAGAAGTGTTTGTCGATGGTGAGCCCCTTGCAGTCATTTACCCATCACAACGTTGCTGACTGTTGCTGATGACTCATAGTGGTGGCGTCGCTGTTGCTGCCTCCAATACAGCTACGAGGCGTGTGGCAGAATATCACTTGCCAAATTGTCTCTGAACCGTTAATCAACATGCAGAGCACAGATCGAACCGGCACAGGTCAGCTGTTTTGCCCAAGGAAAGAAACGTCAATACGTTGCTCTTTTCTGGTCATGTAGTGTGGGAGCGTAAGGGGGGTCCAAGCACACCAATCAGTCAGAAACACGAGGAGCCTGAGTAAAACACTAAGCAGAACACATGGTTGTTGCCCCAATTTGTTGTCGACAGCAAGAAGGGCTCACGAGCTACCCTGGCTTCATAGACTCCAAAATACTGGGTTTAACAGTGCTTGGTTCACAGCGATGGATTTGAATTATCAGACTTGTGCACAACTTGCGCAGTCCTGTTGCCCACACCATGAAGGTCCAGAGAATCCAGTGGGGTCGGCGAATCAGGCATGGACAATGTAGGCAACGTGGCTTATTCGAATCGTTTGTGGCAGACATGATGTCCCCATCTTGCGTCCTTGGAGGTGCAAGGGCAGCATTTGTTCACTTGTAAGTGTAGCGCAAGATTGACATAATCGCCCAGGAGGTAGTAACATCTCTCAGTGTGAGGACAATCCTCACTTGTCCCCCACCACCATGAACCAGGAACACACAACCTGTCAGGACTGTTGCACTGATCCCTGTCACAACTGCACACTGCTGCTTTCCGTTCGCAACTCCCAGGTCAGGGAAGATGGTGGCATACACACTATTAGTTGGGTTCCTGGAGCACAATCCACACCAAGGCTCCCGAAGTATGTGCTACAATGCAGTGCTCAATGCACTCAACAACGAGATATCGACCTGTACCTTGTGGATTCCAGCTCATACTGCACTGCAGTCTAGAAGATTGTCACCCTTGTGGCATCTGAAAACATGCAGCCGCCTGAACAGACATGTGGACATGGGCTTGTGTTCGAAGTGGGCAACAGCGAAATAGACGTCGCAAAGGTGCCTGACACAAGTGTGTCGGTAGGAGGAAAGCCCCTGCTTTGCTGCTCTGCATTGACCCACTGCGCTCATTGTCTGCTCTGCTGCAGTCACACATGCAGATCCCCACCGGCCCATCAACTGGAGGGCTTCATGTAGCACCACGTTGGTCTGTTGGGAATACTGTCTGTACAGTGTGGGACACTGTGGCGAGCATGCGATGGCAATGGTGCATATGCCAAGAGATGACTGTCCATCCCCCATAAATTCCCACCCAAGCCAACATCCGGTTTGTTTGCCGCGTATTCCTTATGAGCTATCCAGGCAATCACTGCCGCCATCCACATCGTAGCTGAGTGTCATAGCATCGGATGCTTGCAACAGAATACACTACACCACTGGGAGTTCAGGTGCCCCCAACCATCTGGCCAGAACAGTCAGGAGACGGGGCTGGGCTGCATCTCAGGCACGGAGTGCACGCAATGAAACCTGCTGACACAGGATGATTGTTGCAATCTGGCCAGCAACAACAGCAAAACTCCACAAAATGCACAACGAGTGTCCCTTTGGCGCCCAGTGTCGCCCGCTGGCAAAAACAGCACGACTTGGCCAAAGTTTGACAAGTGCAGTCCACGATGATTTACACTACACTTGCTTGCCTCCATCCCACAAGATTGGCACACCATCGTCCCTCCAGGAGACCCGTCCATCACACAGTGCTGCTACGCACTCTGGGTACACAATGTGCTCCTGCCTCAGCACCCTTGCCTGCACATCCCCAGGGGTGTCGGATGGGTACACTGGAACGGCCCTCTGCGCCAGGATGGGTCCTCTGTCAAACTCCTCATCCACAAAATGGACTGTTGGGCCCGAAAAGCGAGCCCCAGAGGCCACAACAGCCTCATGCACCCGCATCCCATAAAATCCCTTGCCACCAAATGCTGGCAGGAGGGCAGGGTGGATGTTCAGTATTCTGCAGTTATAGGCCCGCACGATTTCGGGAGGAATGAGCCTCAAGTAGCCAGCAAGAAGGATGAAGTCCACCTCAAATTGGTGTTTGAGGGCTGACAGCAACTCATCAGCAGTCATGCCCTCGACTGACTTTTTCTTGGAGGCTGGGTATATGAGGGTTGGGATGTCGTGATCCTGGGCGTACAGCACGCCGCCACAGGTGGGAACGTTGCTGACCACAAGGGCGACCTCGCCTTTAATCTGACCCCGTTGGCAGGCTGCATGTATTGATTTGAAATTCGAGCCGCCCCCTGAGACAAACACTGCGAGATGGGAGCTGTGCACTTCGTTTTTTGCAGAACCTGCACCGCCTTCACCCGTTGGGCTCGGGGTGGCTGCGAAGGCACGCAGTCCTGCGAGCTTGCATGTCACCGGCTTGGACAATGACCCTTGGGAAGAATGGGATGCCCATCTTTGGTGATAGAGCAAGGTGGTGGGCAAGTGAGTTTGACGTCCGAGCTGCTGCGACCCTTGTGAAGATATCAGGCTGCCTGCAGAGGATGGAGTAAATGCAGGCTGTCAGGCACATCGTGTCCAAGAATGGCGGCATCCCAGGTTCCTGGACGTGGCAATGTTCCCTGCCACAGCCCCCCTGCAGTGCGACACAAACAGACCTGACGAGCTTGCACCGCTGGCGCTTCCCGATTGCAACATCGAAGGGACGGCTATGCCGCATGTGCGGGGAGTCTGCAACGTGGCCAGGATCACAAGCACAGGACGTGAGACAACATAGTCGTCCCAGATCAGCGACCTTTCGTCACGGCAAGCCGCCACCGCGCCGATCGTAGCCACCACACACCTCCTAAGGGCAGCCTGCCATCGACAAGGCCCGCCACAGAACACCCCACCGCCTCCTGCGCACCCCCCGCGTCGACTTCTCCGAACACGGTTCCCGTCAGCGACGCACGTCCCAGCCGCCGGTGCCAGCCCAGCGTTACCCGAAAAACACCATACGTTACGCCCTCACAGTATATGTGTCACAACACCTATATCCCGGTGACCCCTGTTCCTTTTCCAGCATACCCAACCGCTGAGGGAATCTTCCCGGCCCACTTCAAACTCCAAAACTCCCAGCTCTCCTCCCAGCGTTGGCCTTGCCCCTTTGACTCAACAAACCAGCTCTCCGGCAGCTGCCCAGCCGGCGCTGGGCGCGCTGGGCCAGCCAGCCCATCCCCGCCCATGCCGCCAGCCCAAGGGATCGCCATCCCTCCGCGCGACCATGCGCAGCTCGATCGCCGCCCTCTGCGCGGCGCTCTTGTTCGGATTCTGCCTGTCGATCGACGAGGTGGATGATGAAGCAGGCATCGGCGATGACGCGGCGCTGCGGTGCGGCATGGCTCAGAGATGGGGCAGACGAAAGCAGGTGTGGGACGAGCGGCGGGTGCTCGTGGGTCCTTTCGAAAGCGGCTTTGGGTTTGGGTCGACTGCGTCGCCCCGCCTGCCGAACAAACCGGGTCGTGGCTGCGGCAGCAGCGGGGAGCGGTGATGCGGGAGATGTTTTTTTCCAAAAGCGCGTTCATATCGCAAGTCGCGTGATTTTCCGCTCTGAACAGAAGAAGATTCGTCGTTTGGGATATGTTGCTTTGGGGTCTGAGCTTAGCGTCCGCTCAGCGCCGAGCGTACAAATATCAATCGCCCCCTTCTTAACTTCACGCCAGTCCTTGTGTTGTTGTCCTTGAAGTACTTCTGCCCAGTGCGTAGCACTGGCTGACAGTACTGTGAATATTCTGGCGCCATTGGCTGGGTTGTAGCAACGTGTTTCCTCTCAGCGTACTCAACCTGTAGCAACATTGGAGCCTGTGCCACTCACCGCAACGTGGCGCCGCTGAACGCCTACCGACCCAAAATAGCAAGACTCCCTGGCATGGTTGGGCATGGCGTCACGCGATCGCGTCTTGTGCGGTCACATTTCTGGCATCAGCCCCTGATTAGGCGATGTGACAGGCCGGCATCCCCCTCCCATTTTGATGTGACAGCTGGCCTGTGTGCTCATTCGGTCCCACCCTTACTAATGCGATCGCGAGCTTGAATATTAGTGGACATTCCCACATGCGATGGCAGGACTCGTGCAGTCGCGGAGGCGCAAGGGGTCCATCAGTACAGTGACCATGCGATCGCAGGTTGGAATATAACCTCAGAATTGCACCCATGTTTCGTGTATGCTTGTGCCATAGATGGAATGGTCATTGTTATCAGTGTGATTTCATGACAAATAGTGTGACACATTTGGGGTATGTGCGGTTATATATAGATGGAGGATCGGGCCGTGTGCCATTGCCCTTTGCTTCATCTGAGACTACATGGAATCAAGCAGGCTGTATGGTGAGTCCCGATTGTCAAAGGGCGCCATAAGTCATGCAGAGCACAGCAATCCAAACTGAAGTAATGGACAAGGAAGAAGGGGCAAAATCGTTGAAAGAAAAGATAGCATCTACATGAAAAGCAAATTGACCAAATCGGGAAAATAGTTCGCTCATGAGGGACAGCACAATTTGGGACTTTATATCTGTTGATGAACTGCTATGCTGAGCAACAGCACTAAGTCTTTGCATGCACACAAAGCGCGTTTATTACACAGATAGCAAGTGAAATTCTCTGTTGACAATTATCCAGTTGGATGCCGCCATGATAACCAAAATAGATATTCAGACGTAATGTAATAGTAGCAGCAATAAATATCACTATTGACGATGCCAGTGCTAACGAGATACTGCAAAGGCAAGTGGATGTTGTGTGTTTGTTAATTACTTTGTGAGCAGGATACAATACATGGACGGTAATAGTTGTACAGCTTCCTAGGAGTCTACGATGGGCATGAGGGGAGCCGAGCAAGTCAAAGACTGGCAGATGATCTGGCTGAGGACGTCACTAAAAGATTGAAAGACCCACAGAGGTGAATCATCTTGAGATTGCCTGCAAGATGCAAGGGCATTTTCTTGACCTGAAATGGCAACTAAAGTCAAAGCGGGTTGCCCACGATGCGAGTTCCGCTGCTCTTGTCAGATAGGCGAAACATTGTGGGTCCACTGCTGGTGAGGTAATGCGAAAATGCGCTGGGAAATTTATCAGCAGTGTGAGACGTACTGCAAAATATTGCGGCAGAGAGTTTCTTTGGGTTACAATCACAGAAATTGGAGGAAAGTACTGATGCGAATATATTGACGATCAAGACATGGATTGGCTCATAGGAAGAGAACAGCCTTGGCCAATAAACTGTTAGAATAATAGCAATATTGGTGATTCCGAAGACCTGATAATGGGTGATGATTCAATGGATTTCCCATGAGCAACATGGATGTGTTCAGATGATGGCAAATCATTGTGTCATGCAAACTGTTTGTGATGGTAATGGTGGCAATGCTGGCATTCGAAGCCACGGTTCTTTTGTCGGCTGTGCAGGTTGTGGTCCCTACAGGCCATCAAGGATGCTCTTGAGGCCAGCTTGCGCCATGTGAGCGACTCTATCTTGGCCCAGGCCGTGCAAGGGGGTTGGGAAGATGGGAGCACCGCTGTTGTGGCCCTTCTGGTGGGAAGCAAGTTGATCGTTGGGAATGTTGGCAACTCACGGGCGTTGCTGTGCAAACGTCTGGCTGGGAACGCCTCAGAGTGCGAAGCTGTGGCTGTGCCACTTACAGTGGACCACAGTCCAGGTCGGCAGGACGAGAGAGCTAGGATTGAGGGTGCTGGAGGGGAAGTGCATTATGACCGAGGTAGGTCAGCTCAGATGAGGTTCGATTTCTGGCACAAATGTCAGTTCAAGTTAAATTTTAAGTTCGATTTACACACAAAATCATGCAAATTTTCATATTGTCATCAATCAACAAACGCTGAAATGCAAAATGTCAAGATGAGTGGGTAGTCATCACCCACGTGTTTGGTCTGAGACACCAATGTCAAAAGTATCCTTTGTTGCAAAGTGGTGGCAAATTGCCACTGGCAATCGTTCGATCTCTGCCAGACCCCAAATCTTCAGCAGCATGGCAGGTTGTATCACTGAAAGCCAAATAAAAATGTGCGCGCCCACTGCCTGTTTCCCTTTTGTCGGCAAGAGATCAGTAATAGGTCATCATGTGCTGCACAGGGTCATGGCGAATCGACGGTGACCTGGAACTGTCACGGTCCATCGGAGATGCACCATATAGGGATAGGGGTCTGACACACATCCCCGAATTCAGCGAGTGGATCACCGCAAAAGAAGGTTGGCACACTTGATTACCGAGGCAATTGTTGGTGCTGAGAAGGAGCATTGGTGATAAGGTCTAAGGAATTCAACCACACACTGGAAGGGCCCGTGCCCCTTTCCTGTTGCTGGTTGGAATTTTGATGCATGTCAATCCACATTAGCGCTTTTCAGCATTGAACACATGCAGATAAGCCACAATGAAAGGAGCCCTGCATGTGGGTATGTGCATGCCATGATTTCCTTATAATTGCGAATCTTTTTTGGTTCTGTGTAGTTGAAAGCAGCTGATCTGAATGCTTGCATCCAGATGTATTGTTAGTCCATTTGACTGTAGCCGTTCTATTAAGTTGGTTAGCTTCCCAGTGCTGTGTGGATATTGTGAACAGAAACACATTGCAGCAACCCAACATGAACAAATGTAGTAACTAGGGAGTTTTTCACTTCTCAATGTGATCTTATGCAGATGATGGCATTCTGTTGATTGCATCCGATGGCGTCTTTGAGGCGATGGATGAGAATCTGGTCTGCAGGTATGCTGAAGATTCACGAAGAGGCCAACTAGGCCGCCTCAAATCCACACCACCGATCATCCCAATACCACTTGGAGGCGATTTGTCACCACTCCCACCACATGGCAAGGCTGCACGGGGCCATGACGAAGCGTCCGAGTGTGTCATGGAGCATGGTGAGCATTGTGTTGTGCCTTTTGAATCTTTTGATGATGTCCACATTCGCAACGATGCAGCATCATTCTGAAGCACAGTGACTTTGCGATGCCAAGATCGCCACCATATTATTTGTAACTGCGCCGAAGCCATGACTCCGACTGTTGCTCTTATTAGCACCTATCACAAGCCCTGTGCTAGCACTGGGCTTGTTTTGAGTACCAATTGAAGTAAAGGTCAGGATCATTACTTCAATCATCGCCGATGGTCCTTAGGGTGTCTCAATTGCTTGCGTGGAACTCCTGATTCTGCCCCCAAGAACATGATGTCTTTGTGTTGCTTTTCTACAACAGACAGACGCTTCTGCGTGTTGCTGAGAGCGTAAACGAAGAGCCCAAAACGTTTTGCTGAGTGGGTTAGGGGCAGGATGGGCTTCATGTGGCATACATTTTCTTCATTTTCGAATCAGGGTTCATATCTTTCATGACGTCACATTTGACGTGAAACATGATCACACGGACGTTGCATAGTGTGGACGTTCATGTTGTCCACTTGCTTCCAGATCATGATGCATATTGATGCCGTCATCGTGTGGTCTGAATGCCAGCTCACAAAGGACATAACAAGTAGCAAGACACACAGAGCCATTGCCATTGTCCTGTGGGCATGACTTGAACAGGTGACTATTGACAAGCACACCAAGGAGATGCAGACAATAAGGTTGTGTCATTCATGTGACATCAAGCGATGCCGCATGACTTCATTTAGACACGGTCAGGCAAATTGGAAGTGTGCTATGCGTCGCGATGACATTGCACGATCTTAATGCAGTTTAGATGATTCCCAATTGATTTTCCAGTTCTATTTTATCGGAATGCTGTTCTTTTTGTTCTCAAATACGCTGCTGGCCAAACATTGTAGAGCCTGCATCTCAGCTTTTGTACAAGGCCCCGAACACTGAATTTCATGGACACTAAACAGCTCCTGCAGCATTCTTCTTTCACCAGTCATCGATGTTGATGCCACCAAGATCAAGCACAGTGCGCCTTGCAACAGCTGGTTTGTGGGCAAGTCTGAACTAGATACAGCATGTATTCCCTGCAGGCAAGGGTCTTCAGCAGTGCGCAGTTAGTCACACTATCATTTTCATACAAAGGAGAACAATTGTCACCAAGGAAAATGATGAGCTTTGGCAGTTGTGTTGTGTGCATCTCCAGAGACGGGCCTGGAGGCCTGTTGCGATTGCCAGTTGATATGTGCTGGCAATGAGCACAGCAGCGATGACCCTGGGGGGTGTAGCTCATCGGAAGGTCCAGGGCCAAACACCCTGGAGCAGATGATCGCTCATCGCATTGTGTCAGAAGCATATAACCGTGGCTCAATGGACAACATAGCGGCCGTCACAGTGGATCTCTCGATTCTGAGCCGTCAGGTGCAGCAGGCACTAGTGTAGTGGGAAACAGCCTATTTTGAACAACATCTGCTGCTTTTGTTCGTATTTGAATGCTAAAAATCGTGCATCATAGTGCCAAGCATTGAATTTCACGGAAATTGTGTTGTGGTTACCATGCCCTGGGCGTCATTCACAAGCGTGTTCAGACTGAAGTGCTGCTCCAGATGTTGAAATATCGGCAACTTGCTGCAAGGTTTGCTTTTACTCTAAGCTTCTCACTTCTAATGTGAATGTCCTACCAAGGTTATAGTTGCACTGGCTTGGAAGGCTTCTAAGACACGCCAGCTGTGTTTAAACACTCTCAAATTTGAGACAAACATGGAAGCCCTGGGCCCAACTGCATTGCTGTTCGAGCAACACTCGTTTTGTGCAGAGATTGGCTTTCAATGATCTTCTGAGCGCCTTGACCGTGCACAGTCATTGCTGGAGTATGAGAAGAACCGTAAAGCCATGTCCTAAACGCCATATCCTGAATGTGCACACCCACACCCATTTGTTCAATACCCCGAGCAGGGAAGGAGCATTGTGTTGTGTTGGTGTGCATTTGGAGTTAACTTTGTGCAGCACATGGTTTTCAATCTGGCCCATACTCAGTACTCTCTGTGTGTAGTGCATATCCGTGCTTTTCCGGGGTTTTGCACACTGTAACTGGCACTGTTGCACCTTCCTCTGTTGTTTCCATTCCTTTCTGTCCTATTTTCGGGCTTTTAAGTGCTGGATCTTCTGGCAGACTGTGCAGTGCACTGGCCAAACATAGACTCCTTCATACTGTGTGTTCAACCATGGAAATGCTGGCAGTCGTGCTGCAGAGATGTTCCATGTGTCAAGACAAAAGCAACCCGTAGGTGTGTGTTTGGGGCATGTTTTCAGCTGTGCATCTGGCAGTTCAGAAGAACAGCAACACAGTATCTACAATTTTGGCATTCACCATAGATGCAATAGTGGTTATCATTTGAGGCTGAGGCCCACAATGCGTTCCTGCAGGTCCCCGCACTTCCCCACAGCCAGCTATCCCACTATCACACATCCAAAGATATCGTGCTGCAAGGGATGCCAAGTTCACGCCCTCAGGGTGTGCCACCCTCGGAGCTGGCTCTTGTTTCTCAGGACGGCCTCCACAAGTACCAGCTGACAAAGAAGATAGCTGTGACACCGTGTTCGCTGTCAAACCAATTGCATGTCCAATGGGATGCGGCCGCGATGCCTGAGCCCCACCATCAAGACGGACCGAGCAGGTTCGACAGTCTGAATGCAGAGAATTCACAGTTCGTATTGTGATATATTTCCTCCTTCCAAGATTAATTGTCCTCTATTCAAAAGACAGAATTCGTTACAAGGGCTGCCTCAAAATTGAAAACAAGTTTCGAAAATGGAAAAATTAGGTTGCAAAACCCTTAACTACCAATTTTTAAGATGGGAAATGAGACACGAGCCCTTTGAGCATTGAGGGGAAAGGTAAATTTCGGTCATTTTTGACCCCGAATACCGAGGTTCACTAGGTAAAGGACCACTGGTACAAAGAACTGCCAAATCCTCAATACTTAGTGAGTTGACTTGAAATTTTGATAGTGTGCTCCAAACTTACAAACACAACTTTGGGTGAAATTTCATGGAAAACTGATGTAAGTACAATGGAGAAATCATGCCCCATAGTCATAGAGGACAATTATTCTTGGATGGAGGAAGTACTATTTAAGTAAGTCATACAAAACATCAGGCTGCAAAACCATCATGAAAGTGTGCTCTTGTGAGGTTTTGGTTTAAAACACGAAAGTTCATGATATCATTTTAAAGATGTGTTTCGAAATATGACAATCGCTGCTCTGTCATTTGCTTGGCTATCACACAAATGCAACATTTGCTAATGTACACTCCAGAAAGTGCGTAGACGCTCAGGAGTGGATGGATGGCACTTCAGCTATTCTTGTTTTCCTTTTGCAGGGTGGAAGATGGGAGTTCAAGTGCAGCCCTGTCCGCCCTGAAACAGCTCTCAACTGATGTGTCATTGAAACAAGCTGATGCTATGCAGTACAGCGCTGGGTCGAATCTTGATTTACCACGAACGAGCAGCCATTTTCTCGACACCTCCACGGAATTGTCGAAATTAATGGAGTTCAAAAAGGAGTTGAGGGATGATTCTTCAGATTTGTGCAGTCCATCGGAGTTGGTGGGCACAGCACTAGAGTTGGCGAAGGCTCTTGGGGAATTGCCACTAGTCCCGTCCATAGAGACTAGCCCGGACGTTGACATTTGTCGCAATGAAGAAGATGAAATTCATATGGATGATGTCAAAGTCCATCCCATTGGGCTGCAGTATGCGCCCATTATGGTCAAATTCGCCAGAGAAGCTTGGGGTGCCATCCAAACAGGCTCTTTAGCATTGCTTTCTGGTGCATCTTGGCAAGTATTGAGATTGAGGGAACGGTTGGGGGTTTTTGATAAAAATTGGCATTCTGCATATTGGGAGGGAGTGCCAAGAGGCTTGACGGTTGACTACAAAGTAAACAAAAAGTTCGCAGCTGGGAGTTTTGGAGAGGTTTGGCGAGCAGTGAGGACCAGTCCAGGTACACCAAAAGGCACAAAGGGATTGACCACTGTATTGCGAACTCGTCATGCTTATGTGGTGAAGTACCAGGAAGAATTGTGCTGTACTAATTGGAAGCCACGGGTTTGCTGTCAGTGCTTGTGACATAGTTCTTGTGAGTCTGCTGGCCGCCTCCCTTTCCCATAATCTGCTATGATGATGGCATAGTGCCAATTAGTGTCCACCGTGCTATCATTGTTTCGAACACCAGTGAATGGCCTTAGCAACGTTCCTTGTTGGTTTTCTTGTCATCTCTGCTGAAAATTGCTTGAGTTTTAGACCATCAGCAATGGACTATGAAATGCAGCTTACCTTGCTGCTATTCATGCAACATTGCAACGTTCCCTTGCAGAAGATGCCACCACTTCCGAGGAAGGTTTTGTTATAAAAAAGATTGTGGTGGAGAAAGGGAGTCACGCTCTACGAAGCGGCTTTCGGGAAAAGCATTTTGGGGAGTTGTTCCTGCGAGAGTCACAACGGCATGTACTGGGCGGTGACCAGCTGGCGAGGGGGTGTGAGCATCTGGTATGCTACTCACAGGTGGCTTCAGACCAATCCACTGCTGTGTCAAATGATTGATTTTGGTTGTCAGGAAATAGCAGCGTGTTGGCCTTGCACCTACAGAGCGATTTTGGCCACATTTCTTGCCACAGTTTTTGTTGCAAATTATTTGTTCACTACATGTAATTCAAGAAATCCAGAAGAGCCTGAAAGGCAGGAACAGGCTCTTGATGCCCACCATTGTGTCATGAGGGGCAGTCGTTCTTGGTGGATAGAAGCATTCATTGTGATCGAAAATCCACACCAAACTGTCGTGAGAAGAATCCTTTATGAAGTGCTGCTTGGTTGCTCCAGAGGCTGCCCAATCAATGAATATCTGCCTTCAGGGAGAAACCAGATGAGCCTCTTTGTCTGCCCAAACAATGGCACTGTGGCAAGGGGTGTAGCTTGTCTTTTCAAAGCACTTTTACAGAATGCCCCACCCTTGCGAATGTGTTCCGATTTGTTGGGTGATCTATCTGTTTGGCTTTTGCAAGCCTGTGCTTTTGAATTCGTTTGTGGGCTGAGTTTGAACATGCTTCTGCTCTCGCGACCATCATTTATTGGCTTTCCTGCTAGTTTCCCTTGCCTACTCCGGCCAGAGGGGCCGCTTGCACCAAAAAGGCTATGCTGATGCGTTGTGCTCCCAGGCAAGGTTTGTCGAAGCCCTGCAGCCAGGACCCTCTACCAACCTGTGGCTCGTGTTTCGTGACGAAGGTGTGTCCCTTCACTCTATGATGTACACCACAATGGAGTTTCCGGGCAAGCAGGTGCGTGAGAATTTGCGCACTGTATTTCAGCGTGAAGTGAGGTGCTTTCATCACATTTGTGGCCTATTGTACTACCCATCGAGACGTAAACATCAAAAGTGTGGTAAATGAAAACCTGTGGGTGACAATCTGTCATCATGGACAAAACGCCCGCTGTCAACACTTTCCCATGCCACATGCCCTCCACATACTGTAATGCCACTGGGCAGAAATGGGCATTTTACCAAACTGATGAAGTACAGCTTGCAGACAGCTGTCTTCTGCAGGGTATCATAACTACCAACTCATGAATCGCGTCCATAAAAATGTTGATAATCGAGTATGGGTGGTAAACGCGGGGTTGAAATGCGTTCAGCATGGGTTTATCTCCACCGTTCTTCTGGCTCAACCCTATTCTGTCTATTTTCATTACTCATCTCGTCTGCAGTTCATGGCAGCTTTGACAGTGCAGAACCCTGCCTGCCTTGCCTAATTGGACTCATTCTCGCCACATTTTCACATTCAGTTCGTGCAAGGCTATTCGACAACCATCCCACGCAAATCTGTAAATTTTCAGTAGACAACAGATATTGACTCCATAGCATTCTACAAGAATTTACAGGAGTATGCAGCCTTTAAGTGGAGTGTGCAACTGATGGCTAAGAAAGGCCAATTGCAGCACGCAACAAGGTGATTGTAGCCATGGGGCTAAGGGATTGAATTGAAGAACACTACATCAAATGTGTTGAATGTACCAATTCCTTTGTGGCTTGGAGCAGCAGGTACCACTGGCTGCATTGTCCATGCTTTGCAAAGTGCGCACGTAAATTACCAGGGCGACCCATTGTCAACACTTTCAGTAATGGCACTGCAACAAGATGTCTTGAAGATTTAATTGATGCTTGTCAAGTACAGGGATGTTTTAGTGACATGGTGCCAATGCCTATTGGGATGCATACCCACATAAATTTGGCCTGGAGTGCATGCTACTGAAGCAATGGCGCAGCAACAATAGACATGGAAAAGAATTCGAATGTCCTCCTTGTCGATGTGCGCAGGGCGCAAGTGTAACAACTCGATTGTATTCGACTAAACCCTGGATGTATTTGATATGAAATGAGATATGAATGAAATATGTGGTTCATTTCTAATTGAAGCGATCGGCTCAGAGAGTGCCCAATTGCCCTGGAAGGGATTTGACGAACCAACAGGTGTATTGTTAATGCGATATTTGTGTTATGATGCAATGTTCTTCATAACAATGCAAGGAATTGGGTTCCCCTGGGGTGAGGTGGGTGGACAAAAGGGGCAAGTGTGCCCCTGATGTCCTCACGAGGTTTCATCCCAGTTCGCCCTCATTACCCTTGGTTTCTGGTCACCCAACCCAGGTCTATCGAGCATTTGTACCGAGGAACAGGGCATTCATCGCCGCGAGCAATGCTGTGCTCCATGATGCAATCATTGGGCAAACAATTCATTCAATATCAGCCAGCACTGGAACATCTCTGGCATCCTATTCAAAACATCTTCCGCATTGCCACAGGAAGAATCGGAAGGTTTCGGGCTGAACATAGTGAGACCGAGCACGTGGTGGAGGAGCATGAGGCAAACGCCCCATGGTGAGGAAATCATCAAAGATGTGTTGCGCCAATTGTTGGAGGCACTGAAGGTTGTCCATGGCGCAAACGTCACACACAGGTGACTTAACACACTGCCTGTTGCGCACAGTTAAAGGAGATGGTTTGGAGAGGGTGGGGGTGGGTGATTTGTTTGGATGGGATACAGTGGGGGTTCTGCTGTTGAGCGACAGCATGCCCATGGAGACCTGGAGTAGACAACAGTTATTACTCTCCCCTATTGGCGCCGAAGGCCAAGGAATTCTTCATTGGTTGCACAATACTTGTGGCACTGCTAATCAGCGTCCCCCAAGGGGCCAGGGATCACATCACATGTACCCTGATGGCACTGAATGCACAACTAAATGTGCTATTGAAATGTGCTTCCTCTGTCCGATATTGATTGTCGTCTATTTTGAAAGAGAAATTTCGTAACATAAACAGCATGTCTGATTTATGAATGGAGGCAGAATGGGAAAGATTGGGTCCCAGAACCCTTAACCACCAGTTTCAAGAAGAAAATGTGAGCTTGACCCTTTTGAATGTTGGGCGAAAGTAAATTTTGGTCACTTCAGAGTGAAACTTTCGAGGTTTATTAGGCAGAGGATCCTTGCTACAAAATGGTGCCAAATCCATGCTACTCAACGGATTGACTTGATTTCTGACCTTAAACTTCAAACTCATGGGCATACACCTTTGTACGAATTCTAACCAAATAGCGAAGTCGTTGTGATGGAGATATGCTGTTCCAAATTCATAGACGACAATTAATGTGGGACAATTGAATTAGCATTTAAGCGTAATGCCTCTATATCTTTTTAAATGCAGCCTTTCACCTAAATTAATATTTTCCTTCTATGCATATTCAGACAATTCGAACTGGTCATAACTGTGTCATCACACGGGTGATCGTGTGAGTTGTCAGCCGCTGATTAGGCAACTACTCAAGACATGAATACAGTGATTTTGACAGCATGAACGATTGCACAGTCTACAATGGGCATAACATTACCCCTTGTCAAACTCCCATTTATTGTTTACTTCAAGTATTTACTGAACTATTGACATAGTGAGCAATCAATGAAATCGTGCATCCATTATGGGCAACGAGTTCGGCGGCGACCAAATCCCTAAAGTTTCTAGCGATACCTCTCTTGCTGCATTGTTTACCAATGTAATGTAGACTGGCATTGGCAGGGATGTGAAGCCTGAAAACATACTTCTGCGGCCGGTGCCTGATCCCGAAGGTGGGCCAAAGTACCACCTGCGACTGATCGACTTCGGATCTGCTGTGGATGCATACACGTTGGAGCACTTGTATGGGCCGGAAGGTCCAAGCGATAGTGAACAGACTGCAGAGTATGTTCCACCAGAGGGGCGTTTCGGCAGGTGAGTCCTGGTGACAATCTGATCGATTATGTGTGCCAGAACATGTTAAAACACTCCTCTTGCATCCATTTCTTTGGCCGCTGCTGACATCCAACAGGGCTTTGTGCCATAGGTTGCTGTATGCCTAGATGTGTGGTGACCTCCATTTTTTGCAAATATGAAATGTGCAGATGCGCTGCACAAAATGATCTACCTGCTATTGTAGATTAATCGCCTTGAACCAAAACACAGTCTGCCCCTTGGACCCTGCTAGAACTTTCACTGCAACCCTGGTCCTGATTTTTGGCACATCAGCAATCTGGCAAAATGGTAGGTTAATAAATGCCTATGGTGGTGTTCGCCTTGGTATCTGAGTGGAGCTTTAAGGTTGTGCTCGCCTTGCCACAATTGATTTCCAATAGCCGCCCATGATCTTCTCCTGACATTGCTCCGCAGTGGGTTGTCCATTCCCGTGACAGGAGCGACAGAGCGTCCACCAACGTCCACGATTCATCTTTCCCACATGTGTAGAATCTGCACAATGTATTCACAGGGAAATCGCAGCGACAGCAACCTTCGAAAGAACTCCCCCCAGCAGCATCTTGGAAAGAACCACGCTGCGTTGGCCACTAAGGGCAGCAGCGATCGGTTGCCACCACACAGCATTGGGGCAGTCACACGCTCTAGCAATATACGATAGCAACGCCAATAGTGCTTGCTACCTGCAGCGCATGGCACAAAAAGGGATGTTTCTGTGCACTACCCTATGTAGCGGCAGAATGGCACCCTTGCCAATTTGATGCAGCTCAATGGCGGCACTTTGGCACATTGGGCTGCAACGAGCGATGTGATTCCATGTGTGGTGTGTTCCATGGCAGGCTGCAATTCCGCAAAGAAACATTGCATCGTGCGCAATCTTACGACATGTGGAGTGTTGGCGTGACATGGCTAGAACTCATTCTCGGTGGGTAATTTTTTGCTGTCAGGTTCTTGAAAGGCAGGCATGTGCTGTGAAGATGGCATGCACCTCTAGTGGCATGCAGGATCCCAATCAACACGCCTATTGATGTGAGCGGCATTCCATCCCCTTGCCCTGTGGGTAAATAACGACACAAGAAATAGTTATATGCAACAAACTTGCCCAGTTGAAGGCACTGTGCGTGATTAGAGCGAGCCCTCCTCTCGTTCGTGACTGTTGTGGACTCGTATGGATTTCGCCCACTCATGGAAAGTACATTTGAGTCAATTGTTGGTGTACTTTTCTGGACCCTTGTGTACTGGAGCAAGGGCGAAGATGTGTCCTGTTTCTTATGAAATTGATCCACGTGGATGTGCTTTGCAACTGACAGGGACGCCCCATGTGTTTCACCTGTCTGCACGAACACAAGCACTTCTGGAGCAGACGATCGACATGAAAGCTCGTTCCGAGGCGGAGAAGCAGCACGCATACCTCCTGCGTGGCCTCATGGAGCTGTGCATTTACCCACCCTGGAATCGCCGACCTTGCTGGCACAGTACAACTGGAGAAAATCCAGGTTCTGTGGCGACGAATGCATGCGAGGAAGGAGCGATGGACTGTCAGGCAGAACAAGACTCCCGAGGTGACAATTCTAAGAATGAAGAATTGCACCAGCCAAGGGATGGCCATTCAAGGGATGAGTTCGCTCATGATGAAGGGCGTGCCTTCTGGGGGACCTTGCGAGGTGGTGACGGTGCCACAGCCCAGAAGCCGCGTTGCGAGGGTGAAACGCCCATTGTTTCTTGGAGTTGCAGCGAAGATGCGTTGCTGGAGATCATTAAATCGAGAGACCCAACAGGCATGCTGCACCGCGGCAATCACTGAACCATGTCATGCAAGCACTATGCCTCATTGTGCTGTTGAATTCATCCACGGTTCAACACGAGGACGACATGCTCTTGCAAACGTGACTAACGGTTAGGGAATGGACTCATGGCCTGCCCTTGTTATGTTGAATCAAGTAACCTCTTCAATGGCTTCAAGATCTCCTACGGGTTTGACAAAACTGTTTCGCACTTAACGAAATTGTGTCACGTTACCTATTGTTTTCAATGCTAAATCTTGTGTGCTGTACAGTTTCCATGACTTTGTGATGAGATCGTCGCTGCGAACATCCCTAGAGCAAAGGATGTTGCACCTAAACATTGACATTGCAACCAATCTGGATTCGTGATACCACTGCATGATAATGAGTATGTGGCTGCCGATGCAGGTGTAGGCTTGCCGAACAAGGAGGCGCTAAATTTGCTCATGTCAATGCTTGACTGGCGTCCAAATCAACGGCCGACGGCCGCTGAAGCTCTCGACAGCCCCTATCTCTCCAAGGCATGAACGTGTGCATGAAAAACGCCTCCTTGTTTCGTGACTGAAGCACAATAGATCTTCATGGACTACAGGATTGTGTAAGGATGAGAAAATGTGGCTCCAGATGTAGGACGCTGCCCCTGTTTGTAAATATAGTGCAGATTGCGAATGCTTGTGATGGCGAGTTCCAAAAGTATGGATGCCTCAGCGCTGGCTTCCGCACAAAATGAGGATGATGTTGATGGCCGCATTTATCATCGACTGCTGGGCGTTGGTGCCAAAATTATGGATCCAAACGGCTGAGCATGGCTGATACCTTGGAGGGGCAACGCAATCGATGTACCTGCAAAATGACTAGTTTCACAAGTCATCTTTGCAATAAAAGGCCATCAAAAATGAGCAAAGAAAAGGTCAAAATGACCGTTAGAATACAGGGCCTACCATACCAAAAGAGAAACAATAAGAGAAGAAAGAAAGAGCAACAGAATACCCAAAATGCGAGGGAAACGCTGCCAAATTTTGCCCAGATTACTGTTAATCAATGAGTGGTACGATAAAGGAACTGAGGATGTGGAAGGTTGCGCCGTGCGGATGCCATGCCACCCCGCTGCCCTCTTGCGCGTTCTGTGGCCTCTAAGAATTCCGCGACCTCTAGCGCAACTCTGGGATTTGCGGTTTGAGTCTTGCCGTGACTTTGTGAAGTTTATAATCTGGTTTCGAACCCTGGAACATGTGAATTCGCACTCTAGACGTATTGAGAGGGAAGCGCATCATGTGTTGTAAGATTTTAGACCAAGAAGGTGTGCATGGTAGATCGAAACACTAGTTGAACTTTGCTTCTGCATTGCAGTCTGTTCAGTAGTTCAGAGGGTGGGGGCTGGTTTCCCGGTGAATTTCTGAAAGTTTTCGTGTGGAACCGCTTTGGGAGCGAGTGAGGCAGGTTGTTACCCCTCGTTGGTTATTTAAATGGGCTGCCCACGCCAGGGGGCAGATTAGACCCCGAACTGCAAGTCCTGGCAGTTGTAACCGTGCGATTTGCAGCGTACTGTCTCCGGTGGCCTGCTAGTCAGTCTGAGTTGTTGAGCTAACATGACCAACCCTCTCATATGGCGGATCCTGGCATCTAGGCGACCGCATCACTGACGGTCGGTGGGATTGACCACCGAACTAATTCAGTGTCGCAGCAGGTGACTGAGGCAGGCATGGCGATGAGTGATCGCCATGTGGGGGAAGGTCTCGGGTGGGCATATGAGCTGGCGCTCCCGGGTTTGCTCGCTGCACTGCGCCGTGAGTCATGGCATAGTGCCAGGTCGAATCTTGCATCGGTGTGCATGGAATCCCCACGGGTGGGTGCCAATCATGATGGGGTGCTACAGAGGCTGTGGTGGGGAGGTGACGGCTCGCATGTCGGTCGTGGGTGGAGCACACATGTATGATCATGTTCCATTGCAAAAGTGACGCATGTTGGCAGGGATCATGATGGGAAGAAGTTAAAGGCTAGCGTGGCATGTACAAGGCCTAGGCTGAGAATCATGTAACCATGGCAGGGGGGCGATCGGTCGGGCCGGTGTTCCTTGATGTGAATGTCCGATCGCACCGGCACCCCACGTGCTACTAGTACCTTCCGTAAAGTGCAGGTGGTGGGGATCGCTGAGGGGGGTGGGTGACCGGCACCGTATTGCCGCCACTGTGTACTACTATGGGTACAACGGTGAATACAACGTCCTCTTAAGTACTGGAACACAGCCAAGGGGGTGGAGGGGGTACTTTGTGACACACCGCTGGTGCAGTGGGGCGAGCGCGTAGCATACTACCAGCTACCTAAAGTACCAAAAGCGGTGAAGAGTATTCAAAGTAAGTGGGTGGCATCCAAGGAAGCTGTGGAGAAGCTTTCCATCAATCTTTGGACATCATACTCATTCATCTACCCATTTTCGCGAGCATGGTATGACAATGCCCGCTCTCAAACTAGAAAGTTCAGAACATGCAGGAAAAAACACAATGACGGCAAGGGCATATAGGATACTGCAATATGACGGAGACATACTACATTGTGGTGTTGGAGTTGTAATCATCTTGACCTGATTAACAACATGACAAAGAGATGGATGAACAGGAAGCTGAGGTAATAAACATGGCAAACCAAACCACCAACAAACAATTGACATTCGAAACACAGCCAAGAGACCTAGCCAAGAGCCAAATTGTTGATGTCATTGTGTGAAGAGAGTTGGAGGTCCCCTCACACCTGTCCTGTGCATCGCGCTGCTCCTTATGTGTGCTTTGCTTTGCGAGAAAAGGGCAATTGCAAAGCCATCACCCAACCCAACATGGCCGAGGGACTGGCCAGTCTATTCTCAGAGCCAAAGCGGGTGCACCCATGAACAAGATGTAACTCATGTTGGCAACTGCCAAGCATACACATGCTCGAACACTAATTGGAGGCTCAACAGCATAACCATAAATAGGGACAAACTTTGCAATAGGAACCCCTGCCACTGCTAGTGGCAGACAACCTTGGCGTTATCCACAAGTTTTCAACAAAGGCAAATATCCTACGCAATCCATAGGCTCCTGACGCCGTCAAGCCTACAAAACATTCTGTCGAATCTCAGATGCCAACAAGCAATCTCAACGCGATGTTGGGACAACAATACCATGTCGTTTGCACCAAGAGGCGCAGCCACTCCAATAGTAGGCTGTGGCGCCCAGCTAGGTGAGAGCTCTCTAGGATTCCTCACTATCTTGCTGTGCTATGATTGCCATATTCAGCACAAAGATACCGAGAATGGTGGCCATCAAACCCAACACAATGGGCTTTTATATTGGTTCCAGCCATTGTGGCACCCATAGTGGCGATATTGAAGCCCCTGTTTATAGTGCCACAGGCTGATCCCGGGCTCAAAAACACAAAGCAGGCCGGGAGTAGTAGTGCTACCAAGAAAATGGAACAATGCAAGTGCAAGGCCACATGAAGGCGGTCACAAGGTACTAGATAGTGATATCTTGATTGGATTAGAACTTGAGTTACTTCAACACCCAAGAAAACTCATGCAACTAGCCGTGCAAGGCGAAAATTAGGGCATGGGGAGAAAATGGATTTCCCAAATGGCCGTTGTTTGAGCCTGCTTAGCCTATTGATCCCTTGATATAGTGCTCCTTGAGCCTAAGAATCCACAGGCAAAGAACCAAACGGCAACTGCCCCAATATAGTTGAACAAAATAGCGGTGTCCTAGGTCTGCCTTGGTGGCTCCGTCTTCAAGATGGCTTTGGCAGCGCAATCGCCCATGGCGCATGGGAAGGGGTGGGCGATATTGTTGCGTTGATGTTAAATATAATGGCCAGCATTATAACATGATTTGTCGTGAATATATTCATGGAAAAGTTGATTGATTCAATGCTGATAACCACTCCAACTTGAAGAAAAAGAATCGACAAATAGGTTAAAATGTAGTGAAAACATAGTGGCATTAACGACCACAAGGATGTGAAAAAGGCAGAAAAGAAAAAATGCATACCGTGAGGCTTAAGCATAATTTTTATGCGCGCATAATCCAGGAATTCACTGCCATAACTAGCTTTTCAAAATAACGCTTATTGAGATTCGGAACAGCTCACTAAGCCCTAAATGTTGGTGGTACAGCCATTAATTCTGGTCTATATGAGGGATGGTGTGGACTTGGATAAGAAGCTGCTACAAATGCCTTGAGCCATGTGGCTATAGGGATGTTTGATTTCCGAACTATGTTCTTTTCAAGAGGGTGAGTAAAAGGAATTTTTTTCTAGAACCTATGGGTATGATGCTCAAAAGATGGTTAAGGCTGCCGTTACAACACATGTACATATAATGGTTATCGTAGGCTTTGCAGTTGATGGTAGTGGAGTTCCAAAAGATTTTGAGTGTGAAAAGAAGGCACTAATAGCATACCATAAGGAACAAATTGATGGTAAGGCAAAGCAGTGATGTTCGGTGTAATGATGTCATTCTGGCCGCCTCGTGCACTTGTGCTTGGCATGGTGTCTGGTCCTAATGTGGTTGATGGTCATAAATAAAAATTTGCTTGAAAAATATAATGCCAAGTATCTACTATGGCACGGGTTTAAGGCTGCCTGACCACGGACAAGAAAAGTGACGGGCTACTCTGCCATGACCAGGTTGGTTATGAGTTCACAATTATATGGATAACGTATTAATCATAAAAATGGTTGGAGGAAAAGAAAAAATATAAAATAGTGACTGCAGATCAGAACTAGAGAAAATGATGGTCAAGTTTGGAAGGGATTAATTGCCCTAAAAAGTGTGGTTGTTACACCCATAGGCCTCACGTAGGGGCCGGCTTACTAAGGCCTTTTGGTGGGGGGTACGTGCTGCCCAGGATAGGGTAACTTGACCTGAACCAGACCATATATTACACTACAATATGGGAGTAGGCTGGGGTGGTCCCACCTAGGTCCCCATAAGGACTTAAGTGCCCGGCGAGGCGGGTCCACATCTTAAAGAGGGCAGGTGCCCCATACCAAAAATAATCTCGTATCAACATGCCCATCTTAGAGGCCATGGAATTCGTCATCATCAACAAAGGCCCACATATAGCAAACACTGAGGTATATGATGGTGGGGCTAAAGAAAGCGATAACATCAATAATGGAGGCGGGCAGAACTAGGGGTTGGACAACAGGTCAGAATTTTGATATATTGTATATAAAAATATGTGAGTTATGGGAACTAATCTGGATAAAGGTATCGTGCATAATACAGGGGGTAGTTAATGCTTCTCTAAATGAGATCTAGAGACTAGAATGCACAACAGTCAAGGTGTTTAATGGGAAAGTAGACTCTATTAAGAGTCCATAGATTTTTGAATCACCCCAATTGGCTTAGCGGTTGAGGAGATGTTGTTAGGTGAATTTTTAGTACTTAAGGGCTAGCATCATCGGCGGGAGGGACCCGTGGGCGGCTGACTAGTACTGGCGCCGCCGCCTAGTACGGACCATTGGGCGCCGGCCAGACCTAGGTGCAAAATTG